GGGACTGGCGACCTTCCCATAGCATGCCATTGCATTACACATGGTCTTCTTCTCTGGCGCCGGGACGATCAGTGGCCCAGTGACGAACGTCTTAATGGCCATGGGTGAAGATGTAGTTATCATTGGGTAGTATCAGCAATGGTGGAAACTCTTACTCATTGATCCAAGCGACTTGCTAACAGATATGGTGGTTGTCGACAACTCTTAAAGTATTCAATTGGCTCGGAAAAGCGACATAACTGCTCGGTCGTATGGATAAGGAAGAAAGAATTGTTCATTATCCAAGGAAGATCTTCAATTTGTATCGGCCCTATTAGCAGCCTGTTCCGAGCGCAACATGGAACCTCAGTGCATTGATTAACACCAGGCAGCACTCGGTTACTGGTCTCTTTCGCTTTGCAGCCGATGCACCAACTCTGAGCACTACTTCACCTATGTTCTCTACCGACGACCCTGCCACCTCCAAATGCGCTTCTATACTAGTCTGACTGTTTTCGAGCCACATTATGGGGGAAAGTATAGCCTCTTCCCCGAAAGAAATGATTCGGGTCGGGTGGGGATGTACCGGCGTGTGGGGTCTGCTGTGTCTCTTATTCGGACCTCACACGGTTTGAGTCCCTTTGACTGGTTGGGCCTTGTGGAACCCGCTATCACGACTTGTCATGACTTGCCCCTATGATACAGCTTTGCACTGCCCTGTGTCGACAGGCAGTATTGCCTCAGACGCTGTACGGTATAAAGTGTCGCTCCTTGAAATATAGTCAACAGTCTGCACAAACTGAATACCGATTACGACTACCGCAACCGGAATAATAGTTACACGGAACTTATCCTGCCGGCCCGAATAACTTCGGCTCGGCGATGGGTCCGATTGCATAGGTTTTCTCGGCACTATCCTGTGGAGTAGAGGAGTCCATCTAGTACCCGAAGTGCATGTCAAGTCGCATGGGACCGACACCACCTTCGGATCGGACGAGTCATTTAATGAACACATTGTGTTTGGAAAACGGTAATAAGAAAACAAACAAACCATCATAAGACAAGAAAAGCTTGTGACGAGACCCAAGAGCCTAAAAGAAAGTAAGGGGTTGGCGTTATAAGCCAAGGTCTAAGCAATTTCATACTTGTGCCACGAGCCTTCTGATGTCTTCTATGGACAAGCTGTGCATAATATGACCTTCAGTAGTATACGATCATGTATTTTTGTGATGGAGATGTTGCATTGGACAACCAGGTGATGTCATGGAAGCATTAGTAGAATATCTGTCTGCCTGAGAGTGTCGGAATGCCCGGTGAGGGCTTCAGCTTAGGTGAGTGAGAACAGAATGAATGTGCAGGCGATCGAAAGAATGCAAACAGGCTTTGCCCTCGTGCTTGCGTCATAACCTGAGGCGGTCAGTTCACTAACCCAATCAGTAGTCGTGGCTCAGTTCTCTTTAATCGCTCGGGGTTCCGCTTTAGGAAGTCCCGTTAAGCGCTGAAGCCGCTATGTAGCGCCAAAGCGAATCAGTGTGCGTGTGTATTGATTGACGGTCTTGTCCGGACTGGATGCATGATGTTATCCCCATAGTGGCAAATGCCGGTCCTTCCATGCTATGCTTCCAGCAATGAAGGGAGGATTCAGCCTTACAGAACACATGGAATTGCCGTAGTATGCAAAACACTGCAGGTTGTCATTGAAGGGCGAAATTGCTCATGCACGAATTGTAAGGGACCGAAGGGTGGGTGAGTTACTAGTAGGAGGAGATTGTGGTTCTCTGCCAGATGGACCCAACCGATCGTAGGGGTATGTGTGGGGATGCCCAATGGAGTAGCTGCTGAGATTATCGGAGGATTGTGCCATGACGTTGAGGAATATGTCTTTCCTAATGCATCGTACTATTCCACCTAGTCGGAAATACTCGCCAGCCCTTTGATATAAAGGTCTGGTAACTTCCTTGTTCCTGACGTTATTTCTCATCTTTTCATCATACAAACCACTACTAATACATTAATCATCCTGGTTTTATTATATTCATGAACCTTACTCTATAACGTATCTCTTTCCCCACAGATCCACATACCTTAGTAGTTTGTGGCATATATTCAACCCTGAAGACGCCTATCTCCTAGTCATGGCGTCTGATGGCTTCTCAGAGAAGGATTTTGATCCAAGTACTGAGAAGCTTCCTGATAAGAAAGATGAGTTAGCCCTACAGGACAGACGCTTGAGTCCTTCTCACCAAGCCGCACCTCTCCATGCGGAACATGCCTCGCAGTCGGACAATAGTAGTGAGGAGCATGGAAAGTTCCGTGGGGATGGGAAACGGGAACTCTCAGAGGACGACTGCTACGACAAGCTGGGATTCAGCTTCCCCTGGTATAAGAAGTGGGCTATCCTTACGGTCATCTTCACTGTGCAGATGTCCATGAACTTCAACAGCAGTGTCTATCCAAATGCCGTCACGCCCCTGTCGGAACATTTTCATGTCAGCGAGCAAGCCGCTCGAGTGGGCCAGATGATCTTCTTGGTGGCCTATGCGTTTGGATGCGAGCTGTGGGCACCCTGGAGTGAAGAGCTCGGCCGATGGCCTATCATGCAGCTCAGTTTGTTCCTGGTCAACATTTGGCAGATCCCCTGTGCCCTGGCTCCCAACTTCGGTACTATTATCGTCTGCCGCTTCCTTGGTGGCTTGAGCTCAGCGGGTGGCTCAGTCACTTTGGGTATGACTGCAGACATGTGGGAGCCTGATGACCAAGGGTTTGCTGTTGCTTATGTGGTATTGTCTTCCGTCGGTGGTACCACAATCGGTCCTATCTTTGGTGGAATGATCCAGCAGTGGCTGAAATGGGAGTGGAATTTCTGGATTCAACTCATCTTTGGCGGGGTTACGCAATTGGTCCATTTCTTTTTTGTCTCTGAGACCCGTGCGACTATCCTTATCGACCGGGAAGCGAAGCGCCGTCGCAAGACGGGCGAGGACCCGAACGTTTATGGACCAAATGAGCTGAAGAAGCCCCGGTTTGATGCTAAAGATGTTTTGCGTGTGTGGTCCCGACCCTTTGAGATGTTCCTGAGGGAACCTATCGTGCTCTTCCTTTCTTTGCTGTCTGGTTTCTCCGATGCACTGATCTTCACCTGCATTGAGTCGTTCAACCTCGTGTTCAAACAATGGGGATTCAATCCTCTCCAGATTGGGCTCTGCTTCGTCTCCATCGTCATTGGCTATCTTGTCGCGTACGGTATCTTTCTCCCCGACATTTGGCGTCAGCATCAAATCAGAAAGAGCCACGGCAATACAGCTCGGTTGGCTGAGCGTCGCCTGCTACTCCTTCTCTTCATTGCGCCACTGGAGACGATCGGCCTGTTTGGATTTGCTTGGACATCAATGGGTCCGGACTACACCCATTGGATCGTGCCCCTTGTTTTTGTTTTCTTGATTGCCATTGCGAACTATGGGATCTATATGGCAACCATCGACTACATGGTTGCCTCCTACGGACCGTACTCTGCTTCCGCCACTGGAGGAAACGGCTTTGCTCGTGATCTTCTCGCAGGGCTGTCGGCCATGTACGCGACTCCCATGTACAGCAACATCGGTGGCAAGTTCCACCTGCAGTGGGCGAGTACCATTCTCGCCTGTCTATCCATTCTAGTGACCGTTCCCATCTACATATTCTACTGGAAGGGCCCTGAAATCCGGGCGCGCAGCAAATTCGCTCAGACCCTAGAGGCCGACCGCGCACAGCATGCAGGACGCCGGGCTAGTCGCCTCAGCGCGGAGGAGAAGCCATACGTGGCTTAAGAAGTCTTTCATTTGACTCTTGAGTTGTCGAGCATCACTGCGTTTCAAGTTGTATTTGTATTGATATAATTTCATTTCTACATTGTCATTAACCCATTCTGTTCTTCAACGATCTTTTGGATTAGACTTCTAGGGTGGCGTGAGTCTTGACCAAAGGCTCGGTCTACATGACTGATGGACTACTTGACTATAACAGTTTAGATACCCAATCATGATACTATCTTTTAGCATATTGTGTACAGAAGATATCGCCTTTGGTGTAGTGAATAAACTCTATATTTGAGTTCACTTTACCTTGTTCTAAGGTACGTTTGTAGAAAATCAAATATCTCTAGGTACCTATTAAATTCCGACAAGACAAACGACAAGCCTTACGTTATACATATGCACCCATGTACTATATGAATGACTCATATTATCCCAAACAATGGTAAATCGTGTTCGGTGACTACAGTGTATTGATGTCTTTGGAGTGCAGGCGGCGTACAAGAGGGGATGTACTCAGCCCTGGCTTATTTTTTTACTACCAGCAGATCTAAACATAGACCAACTAACATAAGCTCGCTCCGGACTATAGACTAAGTAGAGAGTTAGGTAGGCTAAGTTTGATAGGGGCCACGGATTCACGTCCAACTTTAGTATAACTAAAATGTAGAAAGACTCGCAAGGAGGATAAGAAAAGATAGAAAAAAAAAGGAGAGAAGAAGGAAACTTGAAGTTGAACAAGTGATACAGCCCGACCAATGAAACAGAAAGACTATATAAAATTATTGACCGATCGGATTATCAAGGATAACCGTCTTAAAACACATAGAGCCCGGTAATTCCACCTCGGATGAGATCTCCTGCTTCTGCCCCAAAGCCTGACGAGGGAAGGTAGATTATGAGCAATCAACCCAAGAATCTCGGATGACGATGTTCAGCTGTCATTATGCGCTCTTCAATGGTAGTCCTCGTGCTTCCATAACAGGTGCGGGTTCCTGTCACAATTTTCCACAGTGTGCCCATGAGGTATGGGTATATCTATACCCTCAATAACCTACAAAGACGGTAGTTTTACATCCCTCTGTTCCAACAACATTGCTATTTGGGCCTCTATAGCTAGATCCGGTGGTGTTTCATATCTGTGCGTGTATCCACCCGGCAAGCCATAGCCGTAGATGTGTAGCGATTCCAGATGTGGAGGGAGGTTGTCAATGAGTGAGAAGGGTTCCTTTAGCCGACCGCCACCAAAGCCGCGAGCGTAGCAGTAGAGAACATGGTGCCGATGCTAAGATGCTTGAGATTGGGAAAGCTGCGGAGTGCACACTCCGGAGCCGGTGATTCTACGCCCAGGACTTCTTTCTTTTGGGTCTCCCACTTCTCAAGCTCTTCGTCTTCATCATCATATAGGTCGCTCCAAAACGCGTCGCGATCCTCTTCAAACATTTCGCGGAACCACACATGGCCCTGGATGTCAAGATCCAGCTCTTCCAATGTGTGCCGGTGAGTAAGTAAAAACTCCAAGGTGTATATTGAGCTGACCATTGTTACATCGCCACCTAGTTCGGAGCGTCCACCGACCGTAAATGCAAACCTCTTTAGTCGCTTGGCTGACTGGATAATGATATCCAACTCCTCGGGCCTTTGCACAATACAGTGGTAAAGCATTATATCCGTGTAGTTAGCTGAGCGCGGTGGGGGCAACATTCCTACATCGAGGCTCGGCTGAACAGCATCGAAGCGAACAGATTCAATGGCGGGGAGTTCCCAGACGAGATGAAGGCAGTCGTGAACCTCATAATCCCAATAGAGTCTGTTGTCATCCCATAACTCGCCTATATCAGAGAGAAATATCACTGAGCGGAGATTAAGCAAGCCAGGCACATCGCGCTTCTCAGCAATGGCTCGCTGCAGGAAGTTTTGGAACATATATGTCTTTAAGGGATGTTGCAACCCTAGTGAGTGGAAGGCTAGGGACTCCAATCGAGGTGCCAGGGATACCAGCATGATAGCGGGAGCCTGCGCCTGAAAATATAGGTACTTGTCATATGGACTGAGCAACTGTAAGCGCCTAGGAAGGTCAACGCTGTATCGGGGATAGCTGGCGTACCCTTTGTTCGCACTAACATCCTGTAGAAGCATATTTAATACTTGGTCATGCTCTCCTCGCCCTTCAAACCCTGCGTTTCTGACTGCAAGCTGGAGCTTCTGAAGGTCTTCCGTTAGCAGCAAGACCTGTGCTGGCCGGATCTCACAAGGGTCATACCTAATCAAGTAGCCTAGTGTATGATCTAGATGCAGCTCGCGTAGCTGCTCCGCACGGGACGGCTCTCTCAGAATGGAAACTAAGATCTCTAATCCCTTCTTTACCTCAGCTGGGGATCGCAGCCGCACTTTGCGGAAGGTGTCATCGCTCTGCAGTTGACAGATCCCATGTCTGACCTGGAATTGGAATGGATTGGCAAGTCTCGTGTAATTAGCGCCATAGGTGGGGGATGTGTGTCGCTAGACGAGTGCTCTGAAGGCTAGCATGGCAAGGAAAGATGGAAGTTGAACAGTGAATTAAACGAGACAATATGGGATTGATAATTGAGTGGAAACGACCGATAAAGAGGGAATCGCGAGATACTATGGTGGCGATCTTTCTGACTTGCGTCAAAATTAGTCTCATCTAGTACCTTGTAAACAAGCTATTCGACACTATTTTAGCGTTGCAACGATTCAACACCAGACAGACTGAATATAAAGCAGCGTGGATACCTATAAAACAACTAAAGCCTGTGATACTACGTTGCGGCTTGTGGCTAGTCCTTGAAGGTTGTAGCGCAATGATTCTCCGTGTCAACCCTAATCCCAATTTGAGTATGTATGAGGTCTTTCACAATGGGCACTATCTCGGAGAAAGTATCTGCCATACGCCGCGGATGTAACCCACAATCTGTGGAGAATTACGAATTTTTAGTTACCCTTGCTAACCAGAGCTAAGGGACACATGTTGTACCTCAAAACAGCTTCAAATGTCATACGATTAGATAGTAAAATACCATAGGCATATTCTAGCATTAAAGGATTAGTTCCATGAGTTCATGTACAGTGCAATGTATCACCAACCCCTTCCCAGAGCCCCCGTGGTGAAATCACTGTTATTATTAGAAAAGAATCGAACCAATTGCAAAGACGATATCTCTGCCTAACAGTTGAAATTGCGGGCCCGCCAATTATATAGCTCACCCTATTATATGGTAAGCATTTACGGGGAAGGAACAATCGTGGAACTCCTTTAGTTACGCTGTGGTATTAATATCGGCGCTTTCTCCTAGTGGTTGCAAACTCATCAGACTATTGCTCTCTGTGTCTTGTTAGGATATGCGCTCGAGAGTTCGCCAGCTACTAGTCATATGCTGTCATCATGGAGATATGACATATATTTCCAGATGACGATACAACAAGTTGAATTAGCGAACAAATGGCACGAACTATATATGTGGTTTGGATACAATGTCACTAGATACTTATCAACACTCAATTACGCTTTTAAGTTCACTCCTGACCCCTTGGTTAATCTCCTGTAGTTGATTTATTTGATTCGGGCTAATTTTCAAATAGTTGTTTGCGCACGGGCTCGACCGCGCAGGATTAGGGCTTCGTGACCTTCTTAGTGTATTCCGTAGAGAGGATCATAACAGACATACTATAGTTGTTCCTGAATGACTTGCATTAATTGATCGCCAGAAAATGTTTTACACTTTTGACTAGAAGATCCCGCTCACCTCCATATTAAAAGTATATACCCAGGTTTACTCAGTACTGTGAGTCTATGTTCTAATCCAAGTTTATCAAACAATAATTGTTACAACTTGTGTTTAGCCAGCAATTACGTGCAATGAATGTAGGTAAATAAGACGCAGCGGAAAGATAGCGGAAAATCCTATTTACTAAATTGGGGAAATCCGGGGCCGCCTTGGCAAAGCTTCGAATCCGTAATTTTGTTGTAGCTTTCCCCGAGATCCCCATGAATCCTGTCATCTCACTTCCAAATTGTTCATGCTGCACTCCGGGGTTTAATTGTTACTAGCTCAATGAGCGGAAGTTGAAGCCGCGATGTTCCGCATCCGCGTCTAGCCGTCCGCGCGGAATCAAATGCCGCAGTGTCCGAGACGAAGCCTGAGGTATGGATGTACTTCCAGATTGCTCCCCCGGTCAGGGCGGTAGAACCAATGAGGTGCGTCTTATTCACGAGGTTGCAACTTGAATGATGACCCGCCCCTCTTCTACTGCAGGGTTGGCGACAAGTCACAGACCCTACTAAGAAAGAGGCAATCCGTCCACATACCGTGACGTGGACCTATAGTGAACCATGGTCGGAAAGGTCCCGTGCAACCGACGTAATAACCCCTGCGGAGGCTTGATGCTTAAACCGAGATGTTTGGTATAAAACCCCAGCGTGCCGTATGCCACCGGAGCTGAAATGAGATTGTTCCCTCGATAACAACCGTTCTCTCCCTCTTTCTTTGGACATTTTCAGGGATGTCGTTACAAACAATCGCGCTCGCCGCTATCGCGGTGGCATACTTCATTATTCGCTACTTGAACCGCACGGATATTCCGAAAATCAAAGGCCTCCCAGAGATTCCCGGAGTTCCACTCTTCGGAAATCTCTTACAACTAGGGGACCAGCACGCGACGGTCGCAGGGAAATGGGCAAAGAAGTTTGGACCGGTTTTCCAAGTGCGCATGGGTAACAAGGTGAGCTTTGACATTCTTTCGGTGGCTGGTGTGAGGGGGGCCGCAAAGCTAATTTGACCGCTGTTTAGCGCGTGGTTTTTGCCAACAGCTTCGACTCCGTGCGCCAGCTCTGGATCAAGGACCAGTCCGCGCTCATCTCTCGCCCAACATTCCACACCTTCCATAGCGTTGTTTCCAGCTCGCAGGGATTTACGATTGGTACATCCCCCTGGGATGAATCCTGCAAGAAACGGCGCAAGGCGGCTGCAACGGCGCTTAACCGCCCCGCGGTGCAGTCGTACATGCCGATCATTGACCTGGAGGCCACCGCTAGTATTAAGGAACTGTTCAAGGATAGCCACAATGGAACGGTGGATGTGAACCCCACGGCCTATTTCCAGCGATTTGCGCTTAATACCAGTCTGACGCTGAACTACGGTTTCCGGATCGCGGGCAATGTTAATGATGATCTGCTCAAGGAAATCGTCGATGTCGAGCGTGGAGTGTCAAACTTCCGCAGTACGAGCAATAACTGGCAGGATTACATTCCCTTGCTCCGGATTATGCCTAAAATGAATCGCGAGGCTGAGGAATTCCGTGTGCGTCGTGACAAGTATTTAACGTATTTGTTGGATATTCTCAAGGACAGAATTGCCAAGGGAACAGACACGCCGTGCATTACTGGAAATATCCTGAAGGACCCGGAAGCGAAGCTTAACGAGGGTAAGAGAGCGCTTCCAGTGTAACTTTTAGAGCTCCCTACTGACAAATTGGCTTAACAGCGGAGGTGAAGTCTATTTGCTTGACGATGGTTTCGGCTGGTTTGGATACTGTTCCAGGTAACTTGATCATGGGTATTGCCTATCTGGCTTCTGAGGACGGTCAGCGTATTCAGCAGAAGGCCTATGAAGAGATAATGAAGGTCTACCCGGGTGGCGATGCGTGGGAAAAGTGTTTGGTTGAGGAGAAGGTTCCATACGTGTCGGCCTTGGTCAAGGAAACTCTGCGATTCTGGACGGTCATTCCGATTTGTCTGCCACGGGTAAACATCAAGGACATTGAGTTCAACGGAGCGAAGATTCCGGCTGGAACTACTTTCTTCATGGTAAGATACTCCATTCTTCCTGGCCTGCACTCCAGTAACCATGCTGATTAATTTACAGAACGCCTGGGCTGCCGACTACGACGAGGACCATTTCAAGATGCCCGAAAAGTTTATTCCTGAGCGGTACCTCGAAGTGTCTGAAGGCTCCGGTACTCCACACTACGGATACGGAGCCGGCTCACGGATGTGTGCGGGATCCCACCTTGCCAATCGCGAGCTTTACACTGCGTACATCCGACTGATCACTGCCTTCACGATGCATCCCGCGCAGAACCCGGCAGATCGCCCTATCCTGGATGCGATCGACTGCAATGCGATCCCTACAGCTTTGACCACGGAGCCGAAACCATTCAAGGTCGGTTTCAAGCCGCGGGATGCTCCAAAGCTTCAGCAATGGATCGAGGAGAGTGATGAGCGGACAAAGGACCTGTAGTCTTCTATTTTTCCATTTTTTCCCACAGTCTAGCTTTAGCATTGCGTCGGTTATGATACTCGCATGCTTAGAATGAAAATGTACATAGTAGAATGAATGTGAAGAGATTACGTTCAAATGAATGAAAGACATGTCCAATAACGACGCAGTGAGTAGTAAGCTAAGATCTTAGCGGGACCGCGAACCATTCCAGGAAGTGGATAACTGCCGAGCGGATCGTCGCCGCCTAAACCTGCTCGGGCTAGAGTGCAACCTCGGCTGCCGAACCCCCGCATTAGCGACTTGACTCAACAACAAAACATCCGTCGGCTTTTTTTCTTTTCTCTCCGTTCATACCGGAACCTGGTCAAGATGTCTGCCCCGGTGGATCATGATGCAGACCAAATCGCAGACAACGTGGATACTCGCACGATAGACAACGACACCGAATCGCACGACCCCCGCCCGCGGAAAAGACGGAAATACATCGCAAAGGCATGGTGGGTCATGTTAATCCTTTCCAGTATTGACTGTCAACAGCTCAAGGTCTTACTGAAACCGCAAACTACAGTAACGAGTGCAAGCGTCGGAAAATCAAGTGTAATGGCGAGACACCATGCCAAAGATGCGGGAGACAGCGGATTGGGTGTGTGTACGTGGAAGGACAGCGACAAGAAATCAGCGGCAATGAACAGTAAGAGCAGGTCCGTGGGGCGGAGAGAAGGTAGGCTGACGGAAACTAGCGGGTTAGATCAATTGTGCGAGCAGATGAAAGCCATGCAGGAGCAAATCACTGCTTTGACGGCTGCCGTTCATACACTTACTCAAGGTGCTGCTGTTTCGACGTCATTGTCGCGACCGGACCAGATCTGTTCATCTGTCTCCTCACAGAGGCCGTTTCGGCGTGTCTCATCGGCGAAGGAGTTGACTTTTCAAGGTCCCACGACCTCCGCGTTTAGTTTTGACCATGCGAAATCGAGTCTTCAGCGACGTGGGATCGTCGAGCGCAATGATGCTGGCGAAGACGGGGATTTGACCCAGGAGCCGTCGCCTATGCCATCGCCACCCTCACCGACTCAGGTGTTGCATACACGACGGGGTGATCCGCTATGGACTATTGGAAAGGATGAAGCCCTTCGATTGTGCAGGGTGTATGAGGAGGAGATGGGGATCATGTACCCTGTGTTAGACCTGCAGCAGCTACTCAACCAGGTTGAGATTCTATATGGTCAGGTGGGAACAGAGGCCTGGTCGGATGCGTCTGTACCGCATAATGGTGATACGAAGCTGGATAGTTACGACGTACATATTCTCAGATTGGTTCTTGCGTGCGCAATAACGGCTGAGGCAAGCGGCAACAGCGATTTGGCTATGAGGCTGTTTGAAGATGTACAGGAGGTGGCAGATAATTGTGTCTGGGGGCCGCCGGACATCAGAGGTATTGTGTTTCTGACACTGGTGGTAAGTACCGTTGTACCGTTGTTCGTCGCATGATCTAACGTAGTCACTTAGTCGATCTTCTACTTTCAAATGGATGAAGAAGCACTTGCCTGGAGGACGATCGGCATCGTGGAACGTATGTGTCTGGAGAAAGGTCTGCACCGACGGGAAACATTGCAACAACCGGCTATTCTGGCCGAAGGAAAGGAGCGTATTCTACGATTATTCTGGTCTATATATGTTCTGGACATGCGCTGGAGCTTCGGGACGGGCATGCCCTTTGCCTTGGAGGACACAGATATTGACCCGTGGCTTCCAGAGCCTGAGGAAAAGACCCCCTACTTGCGAGTGATGATCCGGTATAGTCGCATTGCGGCGAAGGTCTGGAAGTTTATATCAGCTTTCAACAACACCAACGAGATCAAGAAGGACGAGATGAACTATCTAGACTGGCAGGTTGTACGATGGACAGCTGCAATTCCTGAGTCCCTGCGTCTTGACCAGCCATTGGATCAGGTGCAACAAGAGCCACGGAGTATCCGTCGACTGCGGTCTTTACTTTACCTACGTGCCAACCAGCTGCGGATGCTCATCTATCGACCGGTACTGTACTCAGCGGCTCATATCATGCGTTATCCAGCCGAATCGCAAATCATCGTTGACCTTGCCAAAGACACCATCCAGTTCATCACGAAACTCAACCAGACGTCGGATATTTACCGTCTCCAGCAGGTCACGTTCAACTGGTTTCTCGTGTCAGCCCTTGCCGTTTTGTTCCTCGCCGTATCACAGACACCTGCCCAATTCAGTGCTCACTCTAGAGAGGAGTTCTACATGGCTTTGGAACTAGTGAAAGGCTTCTCACCGCGATCATATGTATCCCGGCGACTGTGGAGGTCAATCAAGGGTCTTCGAAAACTGGGGCCTCAACTTGGGCTGCAAACCCACCAACAGCCCGAAGAGGCAGCTCGTACCGTATTCGAGCCAGCCACTGCTGCTGTGACGGTGGACTCAACGGAGCAGGTGCCGGCACCTAGCACGCAGAGTCATACAACACCAGATGGAGCTGAGATGACACGGGAGCTGATGGAATGGTTCGAAGCAGTGGGCAACATTGAAGACCAGATCATGTCAGTGGGGACAGGGGTGCAGTCCTACGAGGAACCGTGGCAGTATGGGGCTCGCATGGGGAATGGCTATACGTTTGACTTTGGAGGCGAGCTGTCGAGCTTAATGAAAGATTGCTTCTGATGGCAGTATGGAAAATGCCACAGGTTTATTTGCGTCTATCTGATATTCCCTGGTGGTAAAATGGTTAATGTAAAAATATTCAGTAGGTATAGTTCCACGTCATTAATTGAATAAGTCTATCTAGTTGTAGTTGACTTATGTTGTGCACAAATGTGATTGTTTATTACAAATGCTTTGAGGGGTTGAAGTTATAATCTGTCAGGAAGCCATTCATCTGCATAGTGAACAGGCAGCGATATACTGGGCTCGTCGGATGAGCTTGTCTGTATAGCTGGTTTCACATCATTACCATAGCTTCGAGAGCCCGCCCACAAGCTCCTCTGTAACAGCCGGGGCAGCATCGGCCTCAAGAAAAAGCTCGATCTGTTGGGAATGACCTCGAGTATCAAGCATGGCCATTGCGGTGGCAAGCCATGATGCCCTAAAGAAACACGCATTTCACCGATGTTCAACAAACGCGTCTGGTAGGTGTTCTGCAACGATCCGCACCCTTCCAAATTCGAGAGACTCTTTGATGCGCTTTGGCACTCCATCCAACTAAGCAGCCAACGCATCGTATATAACAAGCCGTATGTTAGACCTTCGTCACTAGTATACCTACTATTACCAACCCTACCTATTAAAAGAATGTAAATCAAATTCTAACCCCTCAGCCTAACATTCTTCTCACCTGGACACCACAGCTTCCCGCTAAAATTCATAGATATACTGCTCTGGTGGTGAGCGTAGGTTAATCCTCGCGCCTATTAGAAAGTGTGTGAAAGGCCCTGACTATTGCGACAATAGTGAACTTGTTCGATTTAATGGAATTGATTTGGTGGGAGATGGGCTCATAATATGGACTCAACTTCATATAGATGAGCTTTTGCGAAGATGCACATGCTGTGACAAATGGGTGCCTGCTGTCTTGCTGGTTGGTGAATGTATAGGTGGTTCGTAAGTGTTTAGTACTGTGTATAGTTGTTATAGATTCTACATTAATGGTAGTGGGATCGGATTAGGAGTAGTGCTGTAGTTGTTCATGTATCTGAAAGTACTGTCGTAGATAAGTGTTGGTCTATTTGTTCTGTTCTTCCAGTTCTTTCATAGTATGCGCGTAAGCCTTGGGGTGATATGGTCGATTGACAAAAGGTATGGAGAAAGGGTAAGCTTCATGTGGGAGGATAAGAGATAAATATGCCGAGCGGCTGAAATACAATCTACAGTGAAATCCAGATAATAGCAGATATGCATTGAGACACTAACAAATGACATGACCCAGGTCTCCATAATGCGAACATGTCACCTTCGCCTGCAACACTCCCGCGAAACCATCCAACTCGTATCCAAGTTGATCACGCAGTAAACGTGGGACTAGGTACCGCTTAATCCATATATCTAGTTATCGCGTATACCGACGACAGCAGGCGAGGAAAAATCGCTCACATTCTGTGGATCAAACTCGATGGGTTTATATCTAGACCCTTCGTACACAGCTACGAGTATAATCAGCTCAATTCGCGGTAAGCAATACTTTGATTTATTAGACATAGATGCTCTCACCTTTCTTGGAGAATATTTCAAAGATGTACTTCTCCCCGGAATCCTTTCCCAAAAGTTCCAGGATAGAGAGCCACTCTTGCTCGCAGTGAATGTAATGGTAATGTTTACCGAGTTTGACCCTCAGAAGATGCTCCTTCTCGTCATACAGGCATTGGTTGTGCAAATATATCGTCCACATATCATAATCCAGCAATGAAATGAGGAGGCCAGCCTCATTGGCATACACTTGGGGGAAGAAGTGATGAGCCTTCACAGTGCCACTCCGAACTGGGTCGATCTCATTTCGGATTACAATCACAACGTCCCGTGAAATTTGTGGCGCAAGTCCGGGCATGATGCGCCTGGAATGAGGAAGGCAACAAGGTCCCTGTAACCCGTTGTAGAAAGGCTGATTGCGAGGCATCGACTAGGAGTAGCCGGATATGACGGTTGATGAAGACGAGAGAATGTACTCAAAGGGTTAAAATGGACGGATTGAAATCCAGTATGCGTTGAGTAGACCTTGATCTCTAGATAAGCAGAAAAGGATCTCCCATGGCGGAGACGAAAGCACCTTATATATATCTCGAGCAAGACTTTGTACTAGATAGACTCCACGCCCAGCTGGAGTATTCCAACATTGCTTTGGCATCATGCCGGTAGTATAGCACATTGTGTCTGAGAATGCCTTCATTGATTAATCGTTCATATATCGTTTCTGTGAACATCCTGCGATACCGGGATTTGCCCACTCCTTCCAGATTTCAAGAGTTCCAGATGTACATGTTGGTCTTCGTACCGAAGGCCTGTTACACAGGGGGGCGAAGGGACAAGGAAAAAAGAATCATTTATCAAATTAGTTATAAAGGGGCTTTCCCAATCTTTCTAAGTCTTTGACGGTAAAGTCCGTAACCAACATATGGGCTGGCTCATGCGCGAATACCAGCCCTTCGATCCGGTCTCCTGCCGACTCCACGGCCATTTGCGGTGTGACACCACACGCCTAGTAAACAATCAACGAAGTGATTTCTTAGCCAACAGAAAAAGGAAGGAGAGGGAAGGGGACACACACCCAAAAGACTGGAACCTCCCCATCCTCAAAAGCCTGCCTCTCTCCAAAGTCCGGCTTCTCAATATCGCTAATACCCAACCGTTCAAGGGCATCCCATCCCCAGTCAACCGGCTCCCCGTGTGTGGCCAGGAAGGGTCTGGTGATCTCCCTAACCCTCTCTACATCTTCCACCCGATATGGCCTCATTGAGACAATGCAAGTCCCGTTCTTGAAGATTCCCGATGCTAACAATGGAATCCGCGTTTTATACATGGCAACAATGGTTCCCGTGGCTTGGTGTCTCGGTTTCAGACCCACGTCAGACAGGGCATCTTCAAAGGAAAAAGAGCACCCGATTAGGAAACCGACGTAGTCGTCTGTCCAGAGGTTGAGGAGATCGGTACGACTCTCAATATACTTGCCATCTTTATACACGCGGTATTTGGGACAGTCCGTTCGGAGGTCGAAATCGTTGTCTTTGATGCAGGATGACGGGTAAACAGTGTGGGGGTTGCCCTTGTGGGTGAGCCCCAGTAAGGGGCAGGAGACCGGGTTGCGGAGACACAGGTTGTGGAAATCCTGGGCGTGCTTCGAGGGAAGAATGAGAAGATTGGCTTGGAGGTACCCTGGGGCTAAGCCCGAGGTGTTGGTTATGTGGTTGTGCCGGCCGAGGAGGCGGACTTGGTGGGCGGTTTGACAGTGCGTGGGGTCCATCTCTACCATGATAACAGCATGATGGTCGGCCTTGGTTTTGAGTTCTTGTGTTCTACATTTGAGTTATATGACATTCCCCGCGGAATGAGATTGGCTTATTTCCCGCCATGACGGCGTGTCGACGACCATCAAGCAAGCCTACAGTGTAAGGGTTATACACGGAGCCAACCCACTCGTTTTCCCCATATCCACCTTCGGGGCCCACTCACCGATATCTGGGGTTTTATCAGCCAGACCACCCAATGAGCGAATGTTATTAATAGGGGTTACCGACTGATAAACTCCTCTCCACCACTTATCTTGACCCTTCGGCCCGAACGGGCTTCTTCTACGAGCGGAGACGCGGACTTTGGCCGAATTTCTGTTACTCAAGTGATACCTTATTCAGATAACGGGACTGTCAGCCAGCCAAAGACTATGCACCTGGAGGGGAAAGATATGCATCCGCTATCTTGATAGGTAATCGTGACGGAGGGATCAGCAAGATCCACGGGGCTCTTTTAACCCCAGATTTCCCTCTTCCCTGTCGACGTGATTTTGGGAGGTTTTGGGGTGGAAGTGCAGTTGCATCCATTTCCTGCAGAAATTCGACAACGATATATTCCTTGCATACTCAGACGGCCAGCTTATTGGGACGCCTTCCATGTCGATAGAGCAAAAGGATATCTCGGTCGAGAATAAAGATGATCACAAAACCTCCGTAGAGGAGCCGGGGGTCGGCGATGTGGACGACGTTGTGCTCGATCCGAAAAAGGAGAAGAAACTCCTGATGAAACTGGACCTAGCCTTTATTCCCATTATTATGGTGACATATCTGTCATGCTTCTTGGATCGCACAAACATCGGTATGTCGTATATGCTACTGCAAGTCTCAGGTGGCGGAGCTGACCTCTCCACAGGTAATGTCAAAGTCGCGGGGATGCCGGAGGATATCGGGGCCTCCGAGACTCAGTTTTCGACCGCCGTGTCCATCTTCTACGTGACTTATGTCCTGCTAGAATCACCATGGGCGGTACTGATGAAAAAGCTTACACCCCGCAATATCCTAACTGGGCTATGCATCGTCTGGTCGCTAGCGACAATCTTTACGGGGTTCGTGGAGAACGTCGCTGCACTGTACGCTACACGATTGATTCTGGGTGCTTGCGAGGCCGGGCTTTTCCCATGTCTGAATCTGTACCTGGCGATGGTCTACCGGCGGGAAGAGCAGGCGAAGCGTGTCTCCTACCTTTTCAGCTCCGCAGCTATCTCTGGCGCCGTGGGAGGTTTGCTGGCATACGCACTACTACATATGGACGGGCTAGGAGGAAAGGCCGGATGGAGGTATTTGGTCCCCTCCCTTCTTCTTACCTTGGCATAATTAACCACGAAATCAACCAGATGGGTCTACATCATCGAAGGCCTCTTCAGCATTGTCTGCGCCGTCCTTATCTGGTTCGGCCTCCCCAACGATCCCGCAGAATCATACTTCCTGACTGCGGAAGAGAAATGGATGATGCGCGTGCGTAACGAACAACGCCGCAAATACATGGGCAGCGACAAGTTCAGCTGGGAGGAAATGCGGATCGCACTGCGCGATCCCAAACTGGCGTTGAGCGCCGCCACGCAGTTCTGTCAGGACATCCTGCTCTACGGATTCAGCACCTTCTTGCCAACAATTCTGCAAGACATCGGATACAACTCACTGATGAGCAATGTGTTGACCGTGCCAGTCTATATCTGGGCCGCAGTCGTGTTTGTTGCGGTGGCGTATTGTGCGGATCGGTTTTCGCGCTTTGCCTCCGTAAGTTCCCTCGTTCTGATCAAAATGTGGTGACCAGCGTGGTGATGAATGTGCTAACGTGCGAGCATAGTATATCCTAATCGCCAACATCTTCGGAATAATAGGCTACATCCTCCTCCTTGCCGTGTCGAACGATCCCGTCCGGTATTTCGCCACCTACCTCTGCGCAATCGCCAGTTACACCTGCGTCGGACTAAACGTCGCCTGGCTGAACGTCAATTTCGCACCACAATACCGTCGAGCCCTGGCAGTCGGCGTCCAACAGACCATCGGAAACTGCGCGGGCATCGTCGCAGGACAGATCTACCGCAAATCACCCTATGTGCTGGGCAACTCCTTTTCCTTGGGATCGATATGCGTGGCGCAGATCCTGGTGTTCGTACATGCGATGTACCTGAAGAGGGAGAACGCCGAGAAGGAGAGGATCATCGACGGGAAAGAGGATACGCGGAGGGTCAAGACCGGTGACGCGGAAGTGGAGTTCAAGTATCATTACTAGTCACCCCTGTTCCAGTGGTTCAGGGGCACTTTTTGCAAATAGTTATGTCATTCATCATATTTTCTTCTTATTTCTTGGATATTCTTTCTTGGGAGTGAGGGTTGTACGTACTCGTCATTGGTCGATGGGCACATGACGTCATGACGTACGTATACGTGAGATTATTTCTTAGAAGAGAAGAAAAAAGGTACCGTAGGATATATTTATATGGATCTCCACTGGTGTCAGCCTTATTATTCCAAATTGGATAGATTGATATAATTTGACCTCCAAATATTACTGCTTGACGAAGTCTTTCTGAACCATTGGCCGACATTAGTGCCTACTACCAAACGAACCGAAGAAAGCACAACTTAAAAAACAACATGGGCTCCTGCTTCTCCCTCCTCGGTGGCAGTAATCGCCGGCATCATATGAACCCCGGTATGGGAATAGGCGGAGGCGGATATCCACCGCCGCGAAAACACGAGTTCGGTCCGGGTGCTGGCATGGGAGGAGGGTTTAATTCGGGACCAGGAGGATTCGGTGGAGGACATCATCATCACCATTATCACCATCGCCATGGTGGTGGTGGTGGTGGTGGTGGTGGTGGACTTGGCATGGGAATGGGTGGCCATGGCCATCATGGAGGTATGGGTGGAGGGGGACCTGGGTTTGGAGGTGGGCATCATGGAAGACATCATGGAGGGGGCCTTGGTGGACTGGGAGGACACCATGGAGGGCATCACGGTGGAGGAGGCTTTGGTGGGCATCATGGCGGTGGACATCATGGAGGAGGCTGGTAATATCCTTTTTCTGCATGGGATAATGGTACGTCTCTATCTGGTATGATTACTTTCAGCCGTGCTGACGAGATCAGATTAGATATTTATGTGCTTGTATGGCTTTTACGACCTGTGTTAATGATTCTATATGTGGTTTGAAATTCAACTATGATTCCTCCACAATACGCTATGGCTTCTAAGGCTACTTGGTGTCGTAAACTAGATTTTGGCTTGCAGCCGGAGACAAATAATCTCCCAACGGAATCAATTTCCCCTAGAATGACCTTTAAGGAGTGTGTCCATCTTGTCCACTACATTTACAGCGATGCCCCAAGTCATGGCGGACACATCACCGCGATTAATAATCTCGTCGAACTGATTCTTCCAGAACAATAAACGCTCAAGATGCATGGCAGTGAGACTCCAGTTCTCCTTGGACATCCCACTATACGCATTTTGCCACCATGGACCGCCCTGTGAAATATTGTTTGGTGTACCAGAGTACCAGAGTCGATGAGCGGCGTGCACAAGCCAGATACCCGCAACTGCAGCTTTCTGATCAAGATGCTCAACCGCACGTATATCCCTGGTTACTACTTCCTCGCCGTTCTCTTGGACGATCGTTCCCTCGGTGACCTCCTCTATGGCTGCCGTAGCTTGCCACGGAATACTTATGAGATAGAGCTCGGTGAGTAGTGCAGCGAAAGCATGTGCGTTGAGGTACTCTTGGAATTCTGCTTCGTTGCTCCAGAGATCTGGTAATGTTAGCCATGCTTTGCGTGTGCAATAGACAGTTGCAGGATAGAACTCACTTTCGTGAAATGGTGGCAGGTGACGATCGATCCGATTCAGACCGTCCCATAGGAAGACTATCCGACGAGGTTCGTGATATGCATCATTGTCATCTAGCATGATGACCTCTGGGAGCTGCGTTAGAGGGAGCTTTTTTAGCCACATGATTATCCTCGCGAGCTGCGAATGTCCATCCCTATCACGATCTAGCTGGCCCGCAAGACGGATGAACCCTTCCCAGACGTGCTGAATGAATTCGTAAGCCTCCACAGGTTGGCTCCTGGTCGCGTAGTCCGTGTAGAGGTTATCCAGCTCGATCGCTGCCAGGCGGGGGACACTAGCGTTGCTAGCTCCTATCGTACCATGGAGGATGGCCCATATACGAAGGTTCAGGGTCTGGGTCATAAGGTAGTTCAGCATTTGAGGCGTTGGAATCTTTGTAGGATTGGAGATATGTAAGTTATTAGATGATGAAAGTTGAGGTGTGATGGAAAAAGGAAGATTGGTGTAGGCAGGAGAAAAGATCTGTTAAGTAAACTGTGATCTGATCGTTGCCTAACTAACAAAGGAGGTCCTACCAGTGAATAGCAACATGCTTCCATATGATTCCGTCGCAAAACTGTGGGTATAATATTACAACGTTGAGAAAATAAGGATGGCATTCTTACTTTGGCATGTTGTGATCCTAAAGATGATATTGATATGGCGGTAGGGCTACAGAGAGCACGTGAGTGAACTCCAGATACTTCATTATGTGATTCCTAGTACTATTTCTATCAGACATGTTAAACCTCCCCGAAGCCCGGCGATCTGTACCCTCCTACAATCATTCCCCACTTCCAAATGACCAGGTGTAATAAATAGTTTTCAAAGTCTTAAAAAATTCACAAATCTTCCACAGTTGGCTCAAGTTTCGCTTCATAGTCTCGCGGAGTCAGCCATCATTTTGTAACCAAGTAATAGCATGATCATATACTGTGGAAATTACCGTTCTTCCAGACAATTTCAAATTGCAGTTTGCCTTCTTCCGCCTCTAGCATCGCCTGTATGGCGCAAAACCACTGCATTCTACAGAACACGTATCCCGTGATGGTGCGTCCGTCTCGTTGGAACGAGTATCTCAGCTGGTGGTTTAGGCTGTTAAAGTCGCACTGCTTGAGAAGTATCTTCTTCCAGTATCGATAGTCAAGATCCCAGATAGGAAGTGTGTCTTTACTGGTTCCATCCTGCCAGATGCACCAGGCTCGCAGAAAGGCGCTCTTTTCGGGATCCACGCGGTTGATGACTTCGATAGGAGTATCTTCCTGGATTTTCATTTTTGCGCTATTTGAATGCGTGAGGGCGTAGTAAATCAGGATCAAGAAGCAAGAGACTGTAAAGAGTAGGCAAATCCTGAGATGTTCTGTAGACCTGACAAGGAAAATACAAAAGCAATCGATAGCTTGGGGTAGGCAAGCGTGGAACAGAGACGCTAGTAGGTACTGACATGGTTGCAGACCTTATTGGTTTGTTCGATTGGGTAGCTTTGCCAGACGCTGCTGGAGCCTGACAGAGTGAATCAAATGAAACTAGTCCTGGATTCTGTGTTTTTGTTCTTTATCTTCATCCCCTGTTCTTCCTCCTTCTCTCACTCTGTCTCATTCATCATCTCCCAACCACCTCCATCATTCTGACAATCTATTCTCATCCAACTATCACCTTGACACTAAAAAGTGAGATACCCTCGTTCTGTTTCATATTTGAACCGGGTGTACAAAGTTTGCATCATCCTATGACAGTAGTAGAACAGACTAACCCGTAATTCTAGCCTGCAACAAACATGCCCCGAGAGATAGCCTGGGACACGGCCTTCAAGGTCCACAACCGGATGGATCGCAGCAAAAGCGGGATCTTTATGGCCTGGGACTTTGCTCGGGTCTGGGATGGTAGAACCATGTATGTCAGGGACCTCGACTATGTCAAGTGGGTCACCGCCTTGATGGAAACTTGCGATTTCGATCCAGAAGTCCATTACGCCCGATACACCGTTTACTGTGATACCATTGAGGTTACCGGAAATATCTTTTGCGAAGCCCACTGGCACTATGCCATCGGAATGAACCTCGAACGCGGCCTTGAGTTTGATATTGTCCCTAAGGACGGTATGTACTTGGATTCAGCTTTGAAACTATGAAACAGGCTGCTAACACTTCAAGGCCAACTTGAGACTAACCATGATGGAACTCTGAATGATACGACCGGCCGTGAAGAGTTCTTGGCCTGGGTTGATAATCAGTACATCTCTGATTGAAGATTACCAAACGCGTATCCTGGATTTGCTGGTGGAGATCGTGTTGAGGGCCGTCGTGAATGTGCACTTGGAATCGATCGTCTTGACGTAACTTTGTTGCGTTCGTTGTGTTGACTTTGTCTGCCTATCCTTGCGAGATGACAACGCTGGTACTAGTCTCCTGGTGAGCTACTGCTTCTGTATTCGGGCAATGTCTGGTGGTTTTTTACGTCCGCAGTTTGAGACCAATTCAGTGACTTGCTTTTACTATTCTCCCGTAACCATGTCTCAACTAATAACACCCCTGGATACTGGTTGTGGGTGAAAGGTTGTTTTTAGCTATGGGCATATCTAGTCATCTGGTCAATGTATTCCATACACGATCGCATTACTTAGATTCTCGCCGTTGTGCATCTCCAAAGAGAAGCAATTCGTACAATTTCAAGTGCGCTAGAACAACAAGACATCCATAACATCCGATAAAGCATGTTTCTCACTCTCCCCTCCACGAAATCAAAAGCTTCATACAGCAGACCGAGATACTACATAAATTAAGAAACTATAAAGAGAACCCTACCACCAGCTGTCTGAATACCAACAACGTGAACCGCTGTCCAATAATCAATCAATCAAGCTCGCTTTTCTCAAAAGTACCAGAAAAGTCAGATCCACACGACGGCCGTCGGCCTCCATTCGTAAAGATGTTTATCTTCTCATGCAACCATTCTAACAAAGGTAAGCACATATCTCTAGCCAATTTCTTATAGTAGCAGAGGAATCTCACCGAATTTGTGAACAAGCTCGAATTCCAGATCAGCCCCGTTCTTCGACATCATATCAATAGCAGCGACAAACTGCTTCTCACAGGAAACATAGATAAGCTGCTGTGAGCCTTCGCTCAACGAGAGTTTACACCTGATCCGGTGGCGCCTAGTGGAAAAGCCGCATTGACTGTTGAGGGCTCGCTTCCAGCTGGAGTAGCTGAGCTTTGCATAGTGGTTATTCCCCCCCAATTATCAACAAACGAGTAGAGCTTGAAAATAGCGCCTCGGTCAGGATAGACACGGTTGCGCACGATGATACGCGTGTCATCTGACTTGGTCTGCTTGCTCAAATTCACCATGGCTGGGACTTGCCGGTGTTGTCTACATTAATGGTTAGTTGGATTATACTATCTTTAATGTAAGTTGTGTTGACATGGGATATACCTGTCTTGCACAGTGTGTTTGTGATTTTGTGTTCGTCTCTCCTGGAGCAAAGTGTTGATTTTCTAGGGGGACAGCAGGGTGGACTGGATAAGAGGGGTAGTACTCATAAACCCGACCATTCCGGTGTCTGGTTGCCATTATGATACCATAATCACCTAACGTATTACGTAGACGAGGCTCACTATATCATCTGTGCATCACTGACAGGTGCCTCAGGACCTACGCTCTTACCTCGTGATTCTACTCGTGCATTAGTCAGGGCGACAGCTAAATCACACAACTCAAGATCAAAGCTTTCGTTCCTATCTTTTATTATCTCTCGGAGACTTAGAGCGAAATATGTTGAGACTGGCGATAAAATGCATCAATATAATCAAATATAACCCGGCGAACGTCTCCTATGTGCATCTCTGCAATGGCTGTCCGCATACTTCCACCAAACGGAGGCTGATTCAAGCGAATGTGATATATTACTGCGAACTCAAGCCTTACATTGACCTTCAATTTCCTGTGGCTGACTTCGAGGATCTCTCAATTCCAAGCGATATCTTGCCTTAACGAACCGTGGTCTTCCTTCGTCTTCCGCTTAATCACTGCATATGTTGGATTGCCGATAGGGACAGAGTTGGCTTCAGAGGATAGGTATGGATATCTTGTTGACTATTTGGGATACCGGGAAGTACGATAGATACTACATTGTATACCATTACTATCGCTTAAGCTAAAGACTAATGACCATCATACCAGCACCCCATCCACCTTCTAAATCCACATCACTCACCATATGACAACCCAACCATCTCCAACGAATCCTTCCAAAGCCGGGTCTCATCCTCCGGCTTATATGTATGATTGACAAACGTCCCAGGAAAGTCCTCAGTGCCTTCAGGGCCACGTATGGCCTCGGCACATTCGGCAAGGTATTTTCCGCCTTGACCTTCCAATTCCCTTCCAACTGCGGCCCACACCGTTGTTGCAGCACCCTGCTCCAAGCTCTTCCATAGAGAGTTGAATTTCGTATTCTGGAGCAACTGATCAACCTGCTCTGTACTAAGGTATGCCCCCAGACCAGTGGCGATGATGCCGGGGTGAACGCTGTTTGCATGCAGTCCACGAAAGCCATAGCGACGGTCGAGTTCATTTGCCATGTACGTAACGGCAAATCTTCGAGTGTCCGTATGCAGGCCATGGTTCATACTCACCTTTCTGGAAGCTATAGTTATCGGACGCATTGAGACCCTGATGTCTGTGTGAATCAGAAGACACGTTCACCACGCGAGACTGGAATTCAGGAGTGGTGGCGGCAAGCATGGCCGGCTTGAGTAGATTGAAGAGCAGAAAATGGGAAAGGTAGTTCGTTGCGAACTGCAGCTCATAGCCATCCGTCGACAGACGGAGTTCCGGCACAGCCAGGATACCGGCGTTGTTGATTAGGAGGACTACTTTGTCGGTCTTGGAGAGGACGGTCTTCGTGGCGTTGAGTACACTCTCAAGGGAAGACTGGTCCATTTGGACAAGTTCCATCTGGTCCGGGTTGAAGAAATCTCCTAGGGCGGTTTTTGCTTTTGTCAAATCCCGCGCTGTGAGATACAGGGTTGCCCCGGTTGCTGCGATGGCTCGGACTGTTTCGATGCCGATGCCGGACGAGACACCCGTGATTACGGCAGATTTGCCAACAAGCTTGCCTTCCATCTCCGCATCTTTGACAATTTGGAGTGCTGTTGGGCGGGCGTCGCCAGCGTCCTGGGGATTTGCAAGAGCTTCGGCGTAGCGAGACATGATGGTTTATAGGAAGATTGATTCAGTTGTGCAGTGAGTGATGGCCAGAAGACGATGTTCACAAGATGTTACGGTTGCTGATGAAGAGCACGCTACGTATGAAAACAGGAGGCATTTATATTCAACTATAGCCATGGATTCCTCAGGTAGTACAGAAGTGGCTTGGAGCTGGCTGACCGTTTTTCCCAGATTGGGAATAGCGGGAGAAGTGGAACAAAGAACGCTGCAGTGGCTGACAGCTTTTACCTTGTTGGGATAGCCGGAGCATCCCATGTTTGGCCCCCAACGGAGTTAAGATGATACAGCGGACTAAAAGTAATCTGTTAGTGTATCACACTCCCCGTTGTACCATACCTTTGAATATCGTTGAGTATGGCCGGTATCTCTCACTTCCCGACGCCCGATCGTAGTGCAGTGGGACCGGTGGGTCACCGCGCTATGGCCGCAGATGAGAAGCGACAGCGCAAGAAAATACAGAACAGGTTGAACCAAAGAGCGCGCAGTGAGTGTTGCCGCCTTCACTGAGCCCTGGGAGGCCCTGTCAGTCCAATGTACTCATACCGGGTCAGGACTTCGTCTTCGAGAAAAAGATCAGGGCGATGTAACCACTAACCTGCGCCCATTCCGAGTCTATCGCTGGCGACTCGAGAATGAGAGTCATAACACGCCAGGCATAAGTAGCAAACAGCCGAGTCGTGGTCCCGTCCAGAATAATATAGACAGGCGTGAACACCCTGCACCTTGTCCTCCTGCCGAGCCATTCTCAAACTCCAACCAAGCACGGATGGTTTCGCATCGGTCATCCGAAACGGGAGTTTCCCTACCCGCGGACCACTTGCTACATCTTATTCAATTTAATGTGCTCCGGGGAGTCCACCGTGCCAAGTATATCCTGGCAGAGTGCTCGGCATTTGTCATCCCAGGTATAGAGAAAGATGAGATCCGCCCCGGCCACGTTTGGTTCCTCGGTACCTCGATGTTTTTCGCGACAAGGCCCGGTCTCCCTGAGAGGCTGGTTCCGACATCACTGCAGATGGATATTTTACACGCGACGTGGATCAATTTCTTGCCGATCCCGAAAATGCGAGATAATCTGATTGCAAAGGAGACTTGCTATGATCATGCGGACTTCATAAGAGACTTGCTTGGGGAGAAAGTGGTCGACCACATGTTCGGCTCCCTATGATCTAGCAAGCCCTCCATTGCCAGTAAATTAGCACCGAGAGAAGGGGACGACGACGGTGTCACTGCCTCGAGACAGGGACTTATCCTGTGGGGAGAGCCGTACAGAGCAGAGAGTTGGGAAGCGACACCTGGGTTCATGCGGAAATGGGCGTGGGCTATGGAGGGGTGCGATGAGTTGATTGCATCGAGCAATCGATGGAGGATGATTCGAGGAGAAGACGCTATTCGTGTCTCTTTATGCGACTAAGCGGTCCGCTCGCCTACGATTTTAGATGATATGCTCATAATGCGTAAATTATACACCCACGAAGCTTCAAGAAGCATTGGTCTAGCGTCTAGCTTACAATCCACTGCGCATGAGGACAGGAGCCCATGTCTTCCACCAGGGGATCGACTCTCTCCGTAATCCAGCCGGAGGCGACCCCGTCCTTCTGCGCGCCCCACACGGGCACATGGGATGTCCAACACTTCCCATCCGTATAACTATACTGTACACATTTCTCATCACGATAGCAGAGCACCCGGCACTCCACCAGGCTGAGACTCGGCACCCCCCGGCGTCTCACCAATGCGATTATCCCAGCCGGCGACTGTGCCTCCCAACTTCGGCCGGACGATATGTCGAAACACATCCTGATACAAGACCGGCTCGTGATTCCCCTCGCGGGACCATTTCCGCTCAAACTCCCAGAGTTCTCGAATCTGCTCGGGCCCCAGATGATGATACGCCACTGGCGCATAGCACCACGGCTTCTTGTGATAGCCCTCGGAGAAAAAGTCCAGCTCGCTCGGCTGCCCCGAGATCAACACCGGCCAGGCCCACAGCATGCCGACGCCCGCATCCGCCATCAACTTGCCCAGCACACAATCGCCCGCCCAATGATCCCTCGTCACGCGGTCCCACGCATCCACATCCTGCCTCCGCAGCGTAACCGCCGCGCGCATCGCCGGATTGGACAGCACAAACCCGGACCCGCCATGCGCAAACACCACATCGGCGATCTGCATCTGATTCCCTAGGTAATACGGCCGCTGGTGCTCCAGCTTCGCCAACCAGGCCAGCAGATTCGGCCAGAAGAAATACGTGTCGGCCTCCATGAACACGTACCATTTTGCGTCGTCGCGCGCCTTCAACGTCTCCTCGATCATCGGCAGGAACTTCCACTTGTCCAGCTTCCAGCCGGGGTTGTTCGGTTTGCCGAAGGCCGAGTTGGTGTCCGGGTTCATGTCGGAGGTGGTCAGGGCTGTGCGCCCGGCAGCGCGCACGCGGTTGTAGATGCTGAAGTCGGGGTTGGATTGTTTGACGTCCTCTGCTACGGTGTCGAGGACGTCGTGCAGCTGGACGTTGTGGATCGTTTCGTTGTAGTCGGAGAAGATGATGTAGTGTGGGACGCAGCGGAGGGTGGTTTGGAGGTGAATGGGGACTTTGTCGCGGGCTTCGGTGACGCCTGTTTTGAGGACGACGAGGACATCCTCCAGGCCGGGGAGGCTGGGGCAGTCTGCGTCGGCATTTTGTTTTCGGTGCGGGAACGCGATCGGGGACGAGGCATTTCGATGAGTGAGATATATGAATAGGATGACCAGGAGACCCAGGATTGGGCTGATCCAGGTGATCCGCGGATGACGAGCAGGACGAAAGGCCGTCATGGAGCTGAGGGATTGGCGCCGAGGAGGCAGCAGCAGCAGCAGCGGGCGAAAGAGGCCATGTTGCGACTTAAGAAGCCCACGGGCAACTCGGACTCGTGCTTTGTGTGTGTCGTCGTGGGGACCAGGCCAGGCAGGCACCCCTGACCCGGTCGCGCAGCTGACGTGGACGCCGATTGATTGATTGATGTTCCTTCTTGCGATGGTTATGTGGCTTGTCGGGTTATTGGACGCTTTCCTGCGCCCGCAGTGGGCCTGTGGGGTCCCGCAGGCCAATAATTTATTTCCCTATTATTTTTTCCAAGGCCTCGACCCAGCGTCCAAGCGCCAGATGTCAAGGTAACCTTGGTCCCTGCAAGATAGACTCCAGTTGGCTCTCCGAGAAACTCAATTGTGAATTTGGGCTACCACGACATGGATAATCACCAGTCAATGTGCTAATATATATTCTTCTAGTCATGAGAGCCAAAGAGCTTCCTGAAACTTTTGGGTCTACCGGAAATGAACTTGTCTGCCAGCAATCGTGGTTATACGCTGAGAACAGTTGTTATTCAAGTATGGCTTGAATCCATCACGTTGCAAATTTTACACCTTTATCTGTCTTCGAGCAAAAGGATACGCCCCAAGATTCAAGTTTCAGAGCGCTTCTAGGAGTATTAAGATTGTCCTTTACTCAGCAATCTTTATAACAGTTGAAATGATCAATATCCATCTACTTCGCTCTACACGCAGTCCAAAGCACGGCTTGTTCAATGTTCATGGGATAGGTGTCAAAAAGGCTCACCATCTGAATATTCACGATATGAAACGCCGAACAATTGACATCTAAACACAGACTGCACTCTTATGTTTATTTCCTGCTTCCGGACGACTGTCTATCGAATAAGCCTAGTGCAGTTGAAAATTCACCAAACCCTCGATCTCTAAAGCAAGAACCGGAATCCACGACTAACGGCCACCTCAGCCCCTTCACTACTACCAGCATACGCGGGCAAATTGGCCCCCTCCTCCTGATCCAGCTTCTTATTCAACCTCCCGAGATAAACGCGAAGAACAGTTGAAAAAATGATCGTCATAGCGCACATGGCGATATTGACACTAAACGCGGTAATGTATCGCGGCGCGGCCGAATCTTGTCATTGACTTGGTCAGCAATCGTGGACACATGGTCGGCTTTTCTGACTGGGGAGCCTACCAGGGTAAAGATAAGGTGTGTAGATCTGGGCCACGTTACTGAGACAATTGATCAATGCCAATGCAGCTGCGCGTTTTGCGGCGGGGCGGGGCAGGACTAGAATCGTTAATATCGGACACCTGTTATATCGTAAAAGGGAATGTCTTACTGTTGGAGATGTATCCAAGGGCAACGACGTAGCTGGCATAGATACCACCGAGCATGATGCACATTGCACTGTGAGCCTGTGTCAATAGCTGCTTATTTGTAGTGCAAGCTGTGCGGACTTACATGTAACGAGCGGCAAAGTTGTTTCCGGCCATGTATAGGATGAATGATACGATAGCGAAAATGGGTGGAAGACAGAGATGAAGGTATCGCTCTCCTGTGCGGTCTGCTTTCCAGGCATGAATCAATACAATGATTGTGCCTATGAGATATGGTGGCGTCGTCAGGAGTAAGGTGTCGATGTTATTCTTGCCAAGTCCGGCCATCACACTTGGAATGAGTAAGTCTCGATGTGCAGACAACGAGCTATGGAGCTATTCGGGAGAGAATCTCATACCTTGGGAAGAAAGTGGTTACAGCACCGGATGATGTACAGCCGTAGATGACGCCAAGCAGTAGCCAGGTTTTCGGGTCTCTGATCGGACATACACTGTTAGTTTGCCGGCCAAGCTCCAGGATAAATGATCGATCTTACAAGATAGCCAGTTTTGCACCATGTAACATGCTTTGGTGCTCACTGTCGACCCAGTCGTCTTCACCGATATCTTCTTCCAGTCTCCAGGCCGCAAGCGCCTTCTCATCATCACTTAACCAAGGTGTCGTTCTGGGGAGATCAGGAACGATGAAGAAAGCGAATAAAGCGACAAAGATCTAATAATATCAGCACTACTATTTCCTCTGCTGACGTAGCGGCCAGACATACCGTCAGTGCGCCCTCGATTATAAAGAGCCATCTCCATGCTGCGATACCTCGGGCGCCGTTCAAGCCGCTTGTGATTCCAGCGGAGATTAGCCCTGAGAATGCACCTGAGATCAATGATCCGGCGTATAGTAATGCGGTCCGTTTGCCTAGTTCCTTCCTTGTGTACCATGCTGATAGGAGATAGAGACAGCCAGGCTGGAGGGCATTAGCAACTTAGAGGGATCGGTAAGTGGGAGCCAGTGTTTTCTCACGAAGTAAGCAGCCTCAATAAAGCCAAGGAAGAATCGCACGGCCAACAAGCCCCCGAAGCCCTTTGTGGCAGCAGTGGAACAAGAGATGACACCCCATACCACCATGCAGGATGGCAGGTAAATCGAAGGCTTGCCAAATTTGTTGAGAATCATGTTCGACGGTACTACTGTAGTTAGCCCTTGGCATTACCGAGAAGGTTGCAAGGCTTAGGTTTACCTTGCATCAGGAGATATCCGACAAACAAGATGCTAACGCAGACCTTTGAAGCGTGGTTAGATTTCGAAAATGAATATCATTTCCTGTTCAGTGGAAATGAACCTACCTGGTATTCTTCCCCCTTGAGGTTTAGGTCATCTTGCAGTCCAGCTAACTTTGCCGCTGCAATGTTGTTGCGATCCAAGTAGTTGAGGATGTACATAACCAACATGATTATCAGGAGCCGAGTGTCAATTTTCCTGACCAGCGCTTTTTCCCGTCGCGCTCTGTCTTCTGGAGACCAATCCATCAAGGCCGTCGGTACTGACCTCAGGTCTTGATCCTTGGGATTATCGACGCCATACTGCTCAATGTGATTACTTCCAGGGTCCTTGGCACTGGCCATAACTTAGGATTCTAATTTTCGGTTTAACTCAAAATATTCAAAAGAAAGAGAGCCAAGAAACTTCCAAGAGAATTGGTGGATGGAAATACGTAAAGAGCAGAGCAAAGCGACCAATATAAAGTTCCTGGGCATGGCCAAGCTCTGGGTTCCAAATCTCTGGGGTAACCAACATTCCCCGTGGGGTAAGCTATTGGCCCAAAATCAGCGCAGAGGCTAGTACTTTTCCAAGGATTCAAAGGTTACGTTTCCAGAAACGGCGTATACTGCATATCCGAGTAGACGCCCCACAGGAGACGGATAAGTGGATCCGAGATCGACCGCGCTAGGAAAAGGAGCCGTCAATCAAACGTTCTGACACAATTCATGGCATAGTACATGTGTGGTCAGTGGCATCAATCACTCATAGGGCGATATGGTGCCTGTTTGACCGGATTTGCTACATCCTCTTGCTTGAGAGTCCACCCACTATGGCTACTAACGACAACCCTCCGTATACTTACAGCGAATGTTAACTAACCCTCGACCTCATTGATTCAGTGAAAATATCATACTAGTGATATCAATGCGTGTTTGGTAATTGCCTTGCATTTTGCATGATGTCGAAGCTTCTTTCCCCAGAGAGGCTACAAGTGTGATTCATTCTATAACAAATTGTAAACTTCATAACTCTAATGAGAAGGAAAGAGACTACGCGTCCGTATATATATACATGCGGTCCAGCTTGAGAAAGGCACAGTTTCAATGGTTGGCAAGCTTCTTCTGCTCCGCAGCCCACGCCAATGCACTTGCACGAGCGCTGGCCTCGCCGACTTCGTCAAATATATCAACACCGAGTCTCGCCGGGAAGTTCATGCGTTGATGCTTCTCCAGGCTCTGTATAGCTTCGAATGCGTCTTCGGGAAGTACGAAGTCTGATGCAGATGACGTATTAGCTCGGGCTACGCAGATATTTGTGACAATTGAACAATTCAATTTGTGAGATCTTACCATCGAAGTTACTGCGAATTCGCTCGGGCGTAATGGACTTGGGAAGAACCGCCGTCCCGCGTTGAACCGCCCAGCTGATCAAGACTTGCGCCGGTGTTTTACCCAGTCGACGGGCAGTGTCAATCACCAAGTCATCGTCAACGGCACTAGAAGGAAAATATGAGTAAATAAGCCTTCCTTTCTTATGTAAGTGCATGGACATACCGAGGAATGTTATAAATATTGTTTCCTAAAGGAGAGTAGCCTGTGATGACAATTTGCTGCGAAAGGATATCAAGATCGGGATCAGGGTCACAGTATGCCCGAATGTGTCATAGAGAGCGCACCTACATTGTCTTTAGACCACTGAAGCAATTCTCGTTGCTGGAGGTACGGATGGGCTTCAATTTGGTTCACAGCGGGCCGGATTTTGGCACTAGAGCTAGGTCAGCTTATAGACGAGTGCTTCAGTCTGGACAATGTCATATACGTCTTGAACAATTCCTCAATCTTGGCCTGGGTGAAGTTGCTGACGCCAATTGTGCGAATCTTTCCTTGCTCCACCAGACGTTCCATCGCCGCCCAGGTGTCCTTGATCGGTACATCAATCACGTCGATGAGGCCTGTCTGGGCATCGACCGGCTGAATGGTTTCATTGGAGTGTCGGAAGGCTACTGGCCAGTGAATCTGCGCCAGAAATCGATCAAGTTAGTAGCCTTCTCGAAGAGAAACATAGCAGAATATAACTTACCAGGTACAGATCCAGATAGTCCGTCTGCAGATCAGCAAGTGATTTATTCACGGCTTCCTCGACATGCTCAGGTTGGTGGTGGGTGTTCCATAGCTTGCTGGTCAACTACAGAGTTGAATCCGGTTGTCAGTAAGTAGCACGGGATGCTTTGCGGACAGCAGGTGTGCCGCCTTGGGCATACATACGAAGATTTTGCTGCGCGGGACCCCGGACGCCTTGATTCCATCTCCCACCTGCTTTTCGTTGCCGTATACAGCTGCCGCATCGATGTGTCGGTAGCCTGCTTCCAGAGCTGTCTTCACCGCCTGACAGACTTCGTCGTTCTTCGATTGCTGCAGCACCCATATCAGTAATTGACCGAAGGGAATACTCTCCTGTGTCTGGTACATACCCATGTGCCCAGGCCAACGGCGGGCATGCTGTACCCGCTACTCAGCTTGAAGGTCCGACCTGAAGCCATTGTTGCATAAAAAGATGATTCAAGAATGAAAGAGTAGGGTTAGGAATGTATCTGTGTGTCCGGAGAGAGGGCTTAATCAAAACGTCAAAGGCACTAACAATAAACGCGTCAAAGAGATCGTTTTGCTCGTTGATAAGTGAAGCAGCCGAGATTCGGATAAGTGAGCGGAAACCAGAATATGGAAATGGTTCCGGATTCCCTTAACTTCCCCACTGCAACCGCCCGAACTCGAGATATCCTTGATTCCTACCAATAATAGATGAGATGATGTTGAAACTTAAAAATCTAGATTGTATAGATACTCAAAAGATCCGTTGAAGGTATATGACGAGAGATATAGAGCTTTTAAGAAGTACGGTGATACGTCAGGTTGTATAATAGATCTAGCTAGAGTAGAGTAGATACTTCTCATTCGGCCAAGTCGCTGGTACCTGCTTACCAGTGACGCCAAAATCAGAGCGGGTTCGGGTCGGGTGCCTGTCAAGAACCCGGTCTGCCGACCACTCATGGTCTTGGATACCAGATTTTCCGAGTACACGCTTTTCCGATATTACGACAATAGGTGACATTCGAGGCTCGGGTCCGAAATGCGATCGCCTCGGCAAGTACTGGCTGTACGGAAAATATTCCAGACCCCTTTTGTACGGTCCTCACATTGTTGGAGTGGACGAGTACTGCCGTCAAATGACTCGACTTTTATTAAGTTTTTGATTCCCATTGACGTAGCGAAAACGCGAAGTCAAGCTGGGTGCTTTCCGTAGTCGTTGCATTCAGATTGGAAATCTCAATTGTCAACCGTCCTCATCCATTCACAGGTAAATCAAACAACGGAATGGCTCCAATCAAGCAGATCGAATATTTTAGAGTGCCTCCGCGATGGCTGTTTGTCAAAATCACAGACTCCGAGGGCAATGTCGGCTGGGGTGAAGCTTCACTAGAGGGTCATACTGAAGCGGTTGAAGGTTGTCTCGACGCCTTTGTCGAGCGATTTGTTGGGTTGGATGCTAAGTATGAACCTTTTGCGATTCTCTTTTTCCTTTCTTTGACTGCGTACTCATTTCTGTTTAGTGACATTGAGCATATATGGCAGAATGGCTATCGCATGGGTTTCTACCGTGGGGGGCCAATCCTAATGAGTGCTCTGTCCGGCATCGATATTGCTCTATGGGATTTGAAAGGTGAGCTCGAGCAACACCTACCGCACCGGTATCGTGGGCTGATTCCTTTCATAACTCTACAGCGTCACGTTTTGGTGTGCCCATATACGAGCTACTCGGCGGGAAGGTCCGTGACAAACTACGGGTTTATGCTTGGATAGGAGGGGATCGCCCTGGAGATGTAGAGGCACAAGCGTGAGACTTGGCACCTGAATTGTCTTCATCATTTTATGTAAACTGATAGTCCTTTTGCACCCAGTCGCGGTCGTATCTCACAGGGATTCAAAGCAGTGAAAATGAACGCGACCGAAGATCTTGGATGGCTAGACTCACCCGCCGCGCTCAACGCATCCGTGGAGCGTCTGAAGACCGTCAAGTCTCTGGGTTTAGATGCCGGTGTGGACTTCCACGGCAGGGTGCACAAGGCAATGGCCATCCAGCTTGCACATAAGCTGGCTCCGCACGAGCCGTTATTCATCGAGGAGCCCTTGCTCTCCGAGCACCCAGAGTCGGTGGCTGCTTTGTCCAAATTGGTCCCCATTCCGATTGCGCTTGGCGAGCGCCTACACTCTCGCTGGGACGTCAAGCCATTTCTAGAATCGGCTTCTGTCAGTATTCTTCAGCCTGATATCAGTCACGTTGGAGGTATTTCCGAGCTGCGGCGCATTGCCATCATGGGTGAAGCTTACGATGTGGCTTTGGCACCGCACTGTCCTCTCGGCCCGATTGCTCTAGCTGCCAATATTCAGGTTGATGCCGTGTCGGCGAATTTTGCGATTCAGGAAATGAGTGTGGGCATCCACTATAATCATGGCTCGGCGGATATCGGGACTTATATCAAGAACCCCGAAGTTTGGACAGTCAAGGACGGCATGCTGGATCTTATGCGGGGTCCCGGTCTAGGCATAGAGATTGACGAGGAGAGGATTAGAGCTGCAGCAGTTGGTGCCAAAGCTTGGAGAAGCCCGTGCTTTCAAGGTCCTGGGGGTGAGTGGAGAGAATGGTAAGATGTATCTTCCAGTCACGTCGCGGTGTTTTTCAGATAGCCCACGGGTAAAAATCCTAGAATCATGATATAGATGGCCCATTCGCAATTAAGAAGAGTACTACGGCAAGATGGCTTTTTGATTGTCCGCTGCTTCAGGTGTATTAACTATAGATTTATATTATACATATTTATATATAAAAAATGAATTCAGTATATACAATACAGCATATACATGATTTATACAGGTATAGATGTTGGAAAATCCGCTGAAGATAGATTTACTATGTCTAGCATTTCTAGAATCGCACACTAGGAACCGCTCGATTTCTTGGCTATTACAGAGTTGAGGGAATTGGTCCCCCCTCCCCCCCTAAGTTCTGATACTCGGAGCATCAGATGTTGTTAAGAGCCATGGAACTTACATGTATTATATCATGCTAACCTTCACGCCAATATCGCACCACCACTAAAGCTTCTAATTTAGTGTTTACTTATGCTCGTAGAACTGGTTGATCTTATCGAGTTGTCAAATGAAGCATGTCGACAGGTGTCAATTTATTGACGGTAAATGTAAACAGTATTAACGTTACAATCGAGCTATAAGACCTGCTCAGGCACCCAAAATCCCCTCCAAAAGGCACACCAAGCCCATCGCCCCAGGGTCTGGAACCTTACTCCATACTTCCTGGGGTACGTAGACAGCGCGGCCAAGGGATGCAGCCATCCCTTTTGTGCTGTCACGCCCCTCTCGTGCTGCATCAATGGCTGCAGCTAATGGTGAACCAGACTGTAAGGATGCTATGAACGGTTCTAAAGCGTCCATGACAGTGCGGTCTCCTACCGAAGCAGGTGTAGCTTGGCGTACAGCTTGGAGTGCGTCACCAGCAGCCTTGGTCCAATCTGAATGTTCAACCAGTCGCTCTTGGGGTAGTTTGGTGCCGACAGCCCGGAGAGAGGCAGCCAGAGCGTTTAGGAAGATTGCATAAAGCGCCCCGGAAGTACCGTCCATATTGTTCTCGACGACTACTGCCAGAGTCTCAAGAATATTGATGATATCTCCACTGTCACTGGTATAATAATCTTTGTTAACAATTTCCCGAAGGATTGCATGAGCAGTTCGTGCAAATGTCGATCCGCAATCTCCATCGCCCACCAGTGAGTCGACTTGATCAATCTCTACCTCGGCTGCTATCACCCGATCACAAGCCCTCTTGAGAGATGCCATCAGGTCTTTCTCGTTAACTATAGAAAGAGTATCGGTCAGTTGTCAATTATGGACATGATTTGGGAGATAACATACCTTTCAGTAGAGACGGTGATCTGAGAGACGGTTTTATCGAATCAACCTCACTTGTGCGAAGTACGCCATTCCCATGTGGCGCTTGACCATCAGCATGAGCTTGATGGAGATCTGGCGTCACCTTCCACCCTGGGGTGGTGGCGGGCTCATCTAGCGCGGTGAGAACTTGAGGAGTGGCTTGCAAGAGTGTGATACTGAAGCCTTTTCCATCCAAGCTGGTCATAAAGGCCCCGGAATATATTCTAATAGGCTTGCTGCCCCGTTCACCTATCTCAGAAGATCAGAAATGATGAGAGCATCCACGGATGAGGCATTCTACCATACTTACCAAGCAGGTCAACTACAGTCTTCGTTATAGCGGAAAACTCAATGTTTGATACACCTCCCAAGTTATTGACCATCAAACAAATGGATTGCTTGTCCAAGAATGACACATAAGCTCGATCCGAGTCATTCGGATCTAATAGCATGTCCAACATTTGACCCACCAGTGCCGAAATAGTTGGTTGTGGTTTAATCACGTAGCACCCTGGCTCATTGTGAATTCCCATGCCCACTTCAACCTGATCTGCGTTGTCTGTCGATTTTGCTATCGGCTTCCCCACAATGTGGACATGGTCTAATGCAGCACCGACAGTGGCAAGATTGTTGGCCAAGTCTTCACCAGCTTTGCGGAGCTCCTCGAGATTCATCTTGCCCTGCTTTGCCAGGGCCCCGAGGACCTTCTCAACGAGGACAGTACCTGCAAGACCTCGCCTACCGACTCTGCCGCTCTTCCGCCGACCAACCGACACATCGTCCCCGACGACTAGCACGGCAGTGTCGAAACCAGCAAGGCGGGCCTTTTCAGCGGCCAGATGAAAGTGCAGTACATCGCCCGTATAATTCATGATCACGAGCAGCGTACCCGCGGAGCCACCCACTCGAGAAATTGTGGTTTGGATCTGGTGCACACTGGGAGACGCAAAAATAGAGCCTGACACTGCGGCGCTGAGAAGGCCATCGCCGACTAGACCTACAAAAGAGGGTTCGTGGCCAGCTCCTCCACCCGAGATGATCGTCACATTCTTGTTCCCGTCATGGCGCGGATTTATTATAGCTTTCGCCATTAGCATTCCTCGTCTATGTGGCATTAGAGAAGGGCATAGTGGTTGTAACCTTACCTTTGATATCCTCGTCGTATCGCAAAGAAGGGTTAGAGAGGGCTAGTCCATGCAAAGCGTCTTGGACAAGTGTTGTGCCATCGTTGATGAAATGCTTCGTAGTCATTTTTCTTTCTGCTATCAAAGCGATCGTGCGCTGTGGGTATTTTGCTTCTCCTTTCGAGGTCAGACTATCTTATAGGGTACTGAGAGTCGGATATTTCTCTCTTGGTTCATAAGCATACCGATTGCCGTTTTCTCATACTACGCCCAGGCTACATTGGGATCCGAGCGTCTCGTTCAATGAACCCATGTCCCCCACACGTTTACCTCCAGTGCTTGTATTGTGCTTTCCTTCGTCTCGCTGTTAGTGGCATATTTTCCGTTGTGACTTGGCCAAATTTCCGTATAGCCGAAAATATGGGATACGGAAATGAGAGGATGGACCCGGAAAAGCATCGGGAGGTCGAAGCCTCCATTCAATGTTATCCGATTGGCTCTCTGGCTACTCGGCTTGATAATGTAAAGGCTCATGGATAACTATTCGACTAAGTTAGTACTTAAACATCTTACTAGGATTTTTGGTCGGACCCATTGTGTTCAATGAGGAGTTGCATCGCAAAGACCACCCATCATGTTATACTCAACTACACTCGAGTCGCTGGGTGAGGACAGCCCGAAGGCTGGATTCACTCACAAGCTGCCCCCAAGTCCACCAGCAGACGGATCTCAGCCTCCCTGTATAATCGACGACGTTGTACAGAACTTGGTGCGGGATGCGCCAGATGAGCCCCTCGTTGGCTATCCAAAGAGTGCGCATGGTGTTAGCGACTATGAATATTATACCCCGCGTGACCTGCACAGGTTCGCCAACGGCGCTGTCAAGCGCTTGGGGTTAGCGGGTCTTCCAGAGGTAAATACAAATCAAGGTGAGATGAAGGATATTTGATTGCTAATTATTGTTTAGTTCTCTCACCCCATGGAGAACCGTGTTATCTCTATCCTCGGCCCCTCAAATCTCGACTACATCGTGTCCCTCTTCGCATTGTCTCGAATGGGATACAGCATTCTGCTACTTTCCACCCGCCTCAGCACCGAGGCATATTCCAACCTACTGGCTCTAACCAAATGTACTCACATCGTATACGCACAGTCCAACAAAACGGCGGTCGAAAAAGTGGTGGAGCAGGCACCTGTGTCCACGTTTTTAATCCCGGGATTTTCAGACTACTCCAAGGAGCCATCGAGTGTACCCTCACAGGCATATCAGACACCACAAGCTTCCCAAAAATGGGCTTTTATTGTCCATTCTTCCGGTTCCACTGGTCTTCCCAAGCCGATCTTCCAAACCCATGGGGCTTGCATCTCCAACTACAGTACGAGCAAGGGCTATCGAGCCCTACTCACTCTGCCACTCTTCCACAACCATGGTCTATCTACTTTCTTCCGCTCACTCTTCAAAAGGAAACGAATCGCAATTTACAACGCCAACCTGCCGCTGACTGGGAAGAATGTGTTGGAAACGATGAAAGTCGCTGCCCCAGAGAGCTTTCACGGCGTGCCGTACGTCTTAAAGCTCCTGAGTGAAACGGACGAGGGGGTCAATGAACTGGCAAAATGTGAACAAGTACTCTTCGGAGGCAGCAGCTGCCCTGATGCTCTTGGTGATCTGCTAGTAAATGCCGGCGTCCGGCTGATCAGCCACTACGGAGCCACTGAGCTAGGACAATTGATGACATCCGCACGACCCCCAGAAGACAAGGCTTGGAATTACGTTCGGCCACTGGCAAATGTGAAGCCTTTCCTGCAATTCAAGCTTATTGAAGACGGCTCCTACGAGTGTATCGTTCTCGATGGACTGCGATCCAAAGTCGCTTCCAACTCTGACGACCCTCCAAACTCTTTCCACACCCGCGACACTTTTCTCAAGCACCCCTCTATCCCTGATGCCTGGAAGTACCTAGGCCGCATTGACGATCGGGTCACTTTGGTGAATGGAGAGAAGGTTCTTCCTGTCCCGATCGAACATCGTATCCGACAAAGCATTTTCGTCAAGGATAACCTCGTGTTCGGTGTGTCAAAGCCACTTCCTGGGTTGATTGTGGTGCCTAGCGTCGAGTCTGAGGGACTCTCATCCGAGGAAATCCTGGATCGAGTCTGGCCCGATATTGAGGCAGCCAACGAAAATGCCGAAGCGTTCAGTCAAATATCACGCAATATGGTCATCATTCTGGATCACTCTTGCTCATACCCAATGACTGATAAGGGAACCATGATCCGGAACAAGTGTTATATGGAGTTCGACGATCTCATTCAAGCTGCGTATGCGCGATTCGAAAATGGCGGTGGCAATGACGGGCCCCGTCGTGTTTTACAGTTGCCGGAATTGACAAGCTTTGTGCTGGATAAGTTCCGCAAGGATCTTGGCTTCTCCGATATCTCAATTGACACCGATCTGTTCGAGGCCGGCGTCGACAGCTTACAAGCAATCAAGGCGCGTGGTATTTTCCAGTCACAGATTGACATCGGTGGTGCCTCTCTCGCGCACAATGTTGTCTTTGACTGCGGCACCATTGAAAAGCTGGCCAAGCATCTGAATGCGCTACGCACCGGAGAAGACTGCGTTGATGAGAGCGAGTTGGAAGCAATGTCACAAATGGTCACTCGATATTCAACCTTTCTCAATCGGCCATCTAGCGATCAAGTGGTGGTAAGTAGCCGGATCTGACATTCCTCATAGATGTTCTAACGATGTGTCCATCTAGATCCTCACGGGTACTACCGGGTCATTAGGTGTATACATCCTCTCTCAACTATTACACAATCCTTCAGTGAAAAAGGTTTTCTGTCTTGTGCGCGCAACCTCCGAGCACAACGCGCTAGATCGCGTGCTTTCGAGTCTATCTTCAAGGTCTCTACCTATTACGAACGCGTATAAGATTGCCGCATTCCCTTCGACCCTCGGGAAAGAGACCTAGGTCTTCCATCCACCATCCTCGACGAACTGCGTAATTCGTTGACACATGTTATTCATTCAGCCTGGGCCGTAAACTTCACGTTGGGCGTTCGCAGTTTTGAGCAACAACATATCAGGGGCATTCGGAACCTGATCAACCTTTGTCTATCGAGTCGCCGATCTTCACCCGCTGAATTTTACTTCTGCTCTTCGATCTCTGCGGCTGCCGCGACACCTCTTCCGGCCAAGATCGCGGAAGGTCCCATCCCTGAACTTGCACATGCCCAGAATATGGGTTACGCTCGGTCGAAGCTTGTGGCTGAGCGGATTGTTCATGCCGCCGCGCTGACTACTGGAATGGTAGCGAAGATTCTCCGAATTGGACAGATCGTTGGAGACACTGCCACTGGATATTGGAACCCAACTGAGGCGATCCCACTTATGTTGCAGACCGCCAAGACGTTGGGGGCGTTGCCAGCGCTAGATGAGACCCCGGCATGGCTTCCTGTTGATGTGGTTGCCAGATCCATTTTAGAGCTAAGTGGGATCGTCTCCAATGACACGGCCAAGGCTCTTGCTCACGACCCCAGCGTAGTCTACCATGTTCAGAATTCCAGGACTTTCCGATGGACGGAGGATCTCTTGCCCGCTCTACAGCAGGCGGGCTTGAAGTTTGATATCCTTCCCAAGAGGGAATGGGTGCAGCGTCTGCGTGAATCCGAACAGGATCCGCAGAAAAACCCAACGATCAAACTGCTGGGTTTCTTCGCCGAGAAATATGACAACGACGCCCCTGGTCGCTCAGGGCTATCATTTGCCATGGAGAGGACGGAAAGCGCGAGTCCTTCGCTGGACAGTGGTGTAGAATTGATTGATTCTGGCTTAATCAAGAGATTTGTGGATGCCTGGGCACCGCGGTGGTGATCAATGTTTTGCGTTCACGATCTGTTGTAAATCCCGCCTTGTCACTCAGTTAGATGAACCCTTTGCAATATAGAGTGTGACCTCTCAGGCTTTCATATCTTATCCCTTCTATCTCATGTAGCATTTTATGATAAGACTTTCTCCCATTTTTGCGAAGCCATTTCTTGCCCTAGACGTCTAGCACACATACGGCTTCATTTCGATTCTTCGACAGAACCGACCTTCTAAGCTTGTACTTGATACCTTGGGTCTCCAACTCGATCACTACGTCAAACACAAACCATGGCATTTGAGACACTCCAATGGCGAATGGGGAGAGTTCCGAAGGCTTTACCCGGTGCTTCCGAGGTCTCTTTTCCGATTCCTGATTCAGAAAGGAATTCAATGAGGGGGTTAGACTCGACATGATCCCAGTTTTCCGCGCTGCTAAGGAAGTGTCTATCAACGCTAGCACAGTACATCACGCTATATACGCTTTCCTAGCCAAGTCTTCTTCCTCAAATACAAGTCCCGTTCTGTCAACCAAGTGCATACATACATCTATTTTCATCATGGCTACTGAAATTGCATATAAACAGAACGTGGACCATGTCGAGAATGCGTCCCACGCAAAGGATGCTTTCCTTGAATATGATGAGATTCAAGATCCTACTAGTCTCGCAGATGAAGAAAAGCGCCTCCTACGCAAGATAGATTGGATCATTCTACCTTGTCTCGCTGTGTCTTACATCTTCTTTTATGTGAGTCGTCAGTTGTTCTGAGAGACATGACACATGTCCAGCACGGGAAGCTTTCTGGATGTTCCCAATTAACCGTTCTCTATCTGGCGTACTAGATTGACAAAACTACCCTCTCATATGCCGCAATCTTCGGGATTCAAGATAGCCTACACCTTGTCGGTAATCAGTATAGCTGGCTGTCCTCAATTTTCTACTTTGGCTTCTTGGCATGGCAATTACCCACCAATCTTCTGATGCAACGGCTCCCCACCGCGACCTACATGAGCATAAACATTATGGCATGGGGCGTCCTCCTCGCCCTACAAGCCGTATCACCAAACTTCGCCACACTCGCCGTGCTCCGGGCGCTTAGTGGTGCTGCAGAAGCCTGTGCAGATCCTTCTTTCATGATCATCACCAGCATGTGGTACAAAAGAAGCGAGCAACCCATGCGAATTGGAATCTGGTACTCGGCCCTCGGATTAGGCATCGCAGGCGGCGGTGTGCTTGGTTATGGAATCGGCCAAATCAAAGGCTCCCTACCTAGTTGGAAATATGAATTTATTATCATTGGGGCTTTGTGTGTGGCATGGGGAATCGTCATGCTCGTGGTCCTTCCCAATTCACCGATCAACACCCGTTATCTCACTCCAGGACAACGAACGATCATGATTAACCGGCTGCGAGAGAATCAGACCGGAATTGAGAACCGACAATTCAAGCTCTACCAATTCCTTGAAGCTATCACCGATGTCAAAGTTCTCCTGTTCTTCTTGATCGCCTTCTTCCAGGCCATTGTCAATGGCGGAGTCACCAACTTTGGTACCATTATCATTCAAGGGTTTGGATTCTCCACCCGTAAGTATTCCAGGCTTCCAGAACATCGCGCAAACAAAACCATCTGACTGACGTGTGGCAGTCGGCACCACATTGCTCCAAATACCATACGGGATCTTCATCTCCGCAGTCATTCTAGTCTGTGTCTGGGTCAACGCCAAAATGCCCCCCAGCAGTAGATGCCTCATGCTCCTGATCTTTCTGGCACCTAATATTGCCGCTGCTTTTGGCCTCCGCTTCGTGCCTCAGAGTGCCAAAGTTGGCCGCCTCATATGTTACTACGTAAGAGTACCTGTCACCCTTTTCCGGGAACATACCTGATTCTGACTCGTATGCAGCTAACAGGCTCCTATAACGCGTCGTTCGTGATGCTTCTATCGTTGACTACTACGAACATAGCAGGACATACGAAAAAGGTGACGTCCAGTGGTATCCTGTTCATTGGGTACTGCGCGGGAAACATCGCCGGTCCCTTCTTCTACAAAGAACCTCAGAAGCCCACCTACTCACTTGGGATATGGAGCATGGTTGTTTCGCACCTTTTGGAGGTCGTTTGTGTGGCTTTGCTATGGATTCATCTGAGGGCTGAGAACAAAAAGAGAGATGCGAGTCAAAGAGTCAACGAAGATGCGTCCAACTCCAAACATCTGGCGGGGGCTTTGGAAGACATGACTGACAAAGAGAACTCGAATTTCCGTTATGTGTTCTAGGGCTCTTTCGTTCATGAGAGACCAGCGATCGTCAAAGAATGGCACACTCTTAGGTTCCTTTAACGAGCACTCTTCCAACGATTCGCAAACATCAGTGTATCTTGCTACAATGACATCTGTGCTTAAACCTGCAGAAATGGAGTGACATATAGCGCTCTTAGTCAGCTAATACAAGGACTGTAACCGATCTTTGACTGGAAGGGCCAAGGGTTGAGCAGCTTGTATAATCAAGGCCATTACATCCAAAGGTGTAAGACTAAACCTTTTTACGTATGACTATAAGCTGCAGTATAAGCATTGACTATGGTCAGGGACACGTATAGCGTTTTTGTTCACTAGATAGTATATCATTTAAACTGTGCTGCCGGCAGGAATAACTATTGAAAAGTTGGGGAATTCAGTTTCTACAGGTTGGTCTTTTTTGATTTCTTCTGCCGTGCACGGACACGGTCTGGACCGTTCTTTTTTACCAGGTCTTGGTAGTCAAGAACGACGGCGATCCCTGCAGTGGTTCTCAGGGTCTTTTATACAGTGAGGCATTAATTAAGCTTGTTGCAGAAGATCACCATGCTCTACAGACTTTTGCCAAACTTTAGCCTTACAGTTGACTGGCATACAGTGTGAGACATGAGTCAATGCCACCACCACGATGGGACTTATACGAGCGCCCAATGACTCAACCTTATCTAACGATTGGCAAGCAAGCTACCGGAAGCTAATAATAGACGGGACCATATCATACCAAAGCGCGGGGTATAAAATCGACTCCAATCCCTTGTGGAGATGCCAACCACAAGGTACAGTCATCAGAATCAGTCCACTTAATCGACTAAGATTACAACTTATCAATCATGGCAGTCGCCAGCTACGAACCTCAACTCATCACGCGCAATCCCTTCGCGCGGGATCCAGCAGTGCGACTCCGCTGCAGGTCAAAACCCAAGGGCGTGCAACGGGCGAGACTCAAACATCGCACCATCATCGAGCAGCAAGCAGCGGCCGAGGCAGAAGCCAGACAGAAAGCAATCGTCGCGCAAAAGACCGAACCCGATCTCTTGGACAGGTACACAGAACCCTCAGTTCCAAGACCCAGACCGAGACTGACGATCCCAGATTTTTCGCCCTGCCTTCCGAAGTGCGCAACCACATCTACCGTCTTCTCGTAGTGCAACCATGCAAATTCAGCTTCAACCACACTTTCCAATGCAAGCGACTATTTTATGAATACCCGGGTCCCGCCCATACCGCTGGGGGCCCGGAGGGCAACATGAACTTCGCCTGCGCCGACTGTCGCTCGTACGCTTGGAGCCCAACACGCCCTGTCTTTGTGTCGCCGGCGCGCAGCCAATGGTCGCCTCCCATGACGAACGAGTACATGTGCGATAACTGCTACTCGTCGAATGTGCGGGCCAAACGAGAGCCGCATCCCACGCTGCGAACTCTCAAGTGTCTCTGTGCGCGACGACAGAATCTTCATATTTTCCTCATCAACAGACGGTTTTATAAAGAGGCGTCGCATGTGTTCTGGACGGAAAATTGGTTTGCATTCGAGAACCCCACTGTCATTATCAACTTCCTATCGTGCATTCGGCCACAGACCCGGTCGTTGATTACCAAGATCTCGTTTATGATTGATCCGGACGAGGTGGGTGTGAATCTGGATCGGAGATACGTGCAGCAGTGCTGGCGGTTACTGCGGTTGTGTGATGGGTTGATGGAGCTGGAGCTGGATCAGTTCTTTCTATCGAATCTGCAATGGGTCCTGGGGATAAAGAATATTACCCCGAAGAGGCGGATGGCTTTTATGAAGACGCCGGACAGGGCGGAGATCACTTATTTGATGACATATGACCGTCGGATTTGGCAGGGGGTGTCGAGACGACAGTCTGTGAGTAATATATTGACGCATGCACTGGTCCGGAGTATGTTGAAGCAGAAGCCCATGAAGGCGAAGGCAGCGCGAGCTCTTTTTGACAGGCAGCAGCGGGGAGAGAATGGAGATGTAAGCAATGGAGAGATGTTGCCCTAATATGGGCCGGGGCGCAGGGATCTTGTAATGACTTAATGTATATTAACATAATATTCACGAACCAATATCACATACCCCCAGATAGCTTAATTCATCCTGTATCTTCGTTACCGAGAGAGTACATAGGTATATGGCTTTTATATTGCATGCTCACTTATTACACTCAGTAGTTGTAAATTCATCCAATGCACAATCGATCTTGTACTGGATCAACGTTCAGTTCTAACTAGTGTATGAGTATTACCATTTTTTCGATTTATATGATACTTTCTTAGTATATTATGGCAGCCACATCAACTACTAGGTGTAGGTCAGCACTCGACATGTATCACAACATGAAGTGAATCGTGACCTGGGGCATCTTTCCAAGATCCTCTCCCTGATACTCTCGCGGAGGAATCGTCACTATCAAGAGTTTTTCGTTCCTTTTTGGCTTGTTATGTTCCCGAAAGTCCTTGCTTCAGTTTCTTCAATGGAAAGAGGGTAGTGATGGCTGACTTGCAGGTTAATTATCAGTCTTCGTTCATCTAATGTACACATATATCCAATAATAATTTCCCTAATGATACACCAACACTACTGTGCAATGAGCAACCCCCGATACCTCATCTTGCCCTCCTCCAACGTCTTCAAGCAATCCTCGATGCCCTCCTTAGTCATCGGGTAAGTCATATTAATAGGCTTGATACCATGGAAGGCCGCAAAATCCAACATATCACGGTGGACCTGTCTCGCCGAGACGATCGAGCCCAAGACCTTGAACCCATTGGCCAAAAGCGGCATATACGGGAACTTGAAATCCTCCAAGTCGACCGACAGCGGCGAAATCGCTGCCCCCGGATTCAAGACGCTAACATACTGATTCCAGTCCGGCTGACTGCTAGTAGTGACAATGAGGTTGTCCAACTTCTTTTCGACCTTCAGCTCCTTCACGCCCTTAGTCGCATAGAACTCCGTAGCGCCCAGTTTCGTCGCCTCGTCTTTCTTACTATCACTCCCGGAGAATACCACGACCTGACAGCCCATCTTAGCCGCGAACTGAATAGCCAAATGACCCAGACCCCCGACGCCGATGATCCCCACGCGCGCGGTCGGCCGCACCTGCGCCACATGCAGCGCGTTGAACACTGTCGACCCGCCGCACATCAGCGGCGCCGCGTCTTCGTTTTTGATTCCGGCCGGGATCGGGAACAGGAACGACTCGCGCCACACGGCGTGCGACGCGAACGAGCCCTGGTCCAGATCAGCGGCGCGTACATCTTCCGCTCGGGGCAGAACGTCTCCCACCCCGTCAGACACCGCGAGCACCGCCCGCAGCAGTCGTGCTCGTAGCCCCAGCCGACCCGGTCGCCCTTCTTGAGGTCTTGCACTTCCGGCCCCGTTGCTTCGACCACGCCCGCGCCTTCGTGGCCCAGCGCCATGTCCGCATGCCGGTAGTGCACGTCTGTGAAACAGACCCCGGAGTGTGTCACGCGTACGAGCACTTGGTCTTTTTGGAGTTCATCCCGATGCGTGCTTGATTTCTGGATGGACCCGTCTTTGGAGCCTTTGTAGACGGTGAAGTCGTAGCCCATGGTTGGTGCGTGTGGGGGATTTTCACACGTGATTGATTGGCGGGGATGGAATACTTGATTTGTTCAGAGTTGGGCCTCTGTAAGGACCTTGAAGACATGGTCTGTTATTTATTATACCTGGTGCATTTCATGATGTCATGGTACCTGTACCATTCGGGTTGCTGAAGTTGCATCACCGATGTGGATCCACCACTACATCACCACTCTCTCGTCCTTCCCGGTCTGGAGCTTCCAGGGTCAAGGTTTGATTTTTGATTATTCTACTCGTCCGCCCTTTTGGCCTACAAAAACTCTATTCTAATCAAGTTTACCAGGGTATCTCCGCCCCGTCGTATTGATTGAATCCCTGCGTCTGCTCCCACCCGGGTACATGGATGTTGAGGAACTTCCCATTCGTGTCCCTGTGGTTGGCCTGGAGGATAATCTTCATCACTGCCTCGGCGCCAGTCTCGACCGGTAGATCCGCCCTGGGTCCACCTAGGTCGGTTTTTAACCACTGGCGTCTAATTAGCATGGCTGCTGGGTCCAATTAATAGGGGATGCGTACCCCAGGACTAACACAGAAAACAGTAAAGCCCTCAGATTCAAGACTCAGCGCATACTGAACAGTCAGCATATTCAAAGCCGCCTTGGTGATGTTATACGCCGGGGTCGTTTTCGCCATGAAAGGCGAGGCCTTGCTAATGGAACCCAACGTCGTGGATCTATCTCCGTCAGCTTCGCTTTTCTATATTCTGGGAAGATAAGATAAGGTCCTACATGTTGGTAATGACCTTTCGCTCTCCTTTGCGAAGCAGCGGTAAGAATGTACGGGTTACCTCATGGGGTGCGTTCACGTTGATGTTGAATGCGTCGTTCAGATTGTCCCTGTTCAATCACAATTAACTCGCCTTTTCTCGGGTGAAAGACAGTGTATTGTGTACATGTATTCTGGGCCCCCTTTCGTCACGGGTTGGATCCCCGCGTTGTTGATCAGCACATCTAGCCCCCGGCCTTGCAGCTGGCGCTCTATTTGTCGCGCAGCTGTTCGGATGCTGATGGTGTCGCTTACGTCGAGCTGGACATATGAGGCGCGTCCGGAGGACTGGTCGATGAGCTCTTTGAGACTAGGGCTGGGCTGGCCTGACCGCGAGGTCGCGAAGATGGACGCGACTTGCGACGCGGGGAGGGAGAGCAATTGCGACACGAGGGCGAGGCCGAGACCCCGCGAGGATCCGGTGATGAGATAGCTGGCCATGGTCTGCCTACGTCGGTTATATGGTATTGTGAGAATAAGTACGTATGGTTGATTTGCTGATGTATGTCATAGAACAACGGATGTATGGAAATTATGTATCTGTCGGAGTGTTGATATCAAAGTCAACTAGAACGTAGTCGATATATATTTCGGCTCGACCGGCTTGCAATGTTGTCGCGGTGATTAGTTTCTCCCACTAGTGAAACGCGAGAGTAAGCTGGATTCAACGAATTGGCACGCTAAAGGCGCTCAGTGTCATACAATTCTTCCTTACTATGCTGGTTGAATACTGTGTATGGATCCAGGAAGCAATGATATCACCGTTAGCCAGCGCGGGGCCTCGACCGACCGCCGGTTATCTCCAATCCCCGGACGGTCACGTGCACAATGGATTTACCTTGTGCAATCTGCTGGACCCGCTCGCTTTAAGTTGAGCGAAAGCTTAAATTTCTCATTGTCTTCACGTATTTTAACTATTTATATTGCTATATATTTAATTACAAAAGAGATTATTCTAGTAAAATTACTAGAAAAAGATAAATCTGGAAGTGTAAGAGAGACTTAAGTGTTTTGTATAATATGATATAATAATACTTCTGTAATCTACGGTTCTTCAGCCTGTGCCTTTCTACAAGAGTATAGAATACCCCGCCTTGATTTATAATATACATAAGAATACATTAGTATATATAAGGGTTTTATCTTTGTATTCCACTGATTAGGCGCTAGTTCCCTTGCTTCCTTGCCTAGAGAACGCGCTATCAATACATCAGTGTGGTTCTGTTGGGATGTAACTTACAAGTAGGGCGCGGGAGATTGCTATCCGACGGCATTGTAAGATGCTAGCGTCTGCGTCCACCCTTAAGACTATCCGGCTCTGGGAAGCTGCCTCTGGCCAGTGTCCCCAGACCCTGCACTGTCAGGGTTATGTCCACCTCCTATCATTCATGAGCAACTCCTCGATTCTGCACACCAACCAATGCTTCATAGGATTTGATATAGATAATTGTGACCGCGATCAACAACAATCTCCCGGTTTGTACATTGCAAGTTCATGGACAATGTTACATGGATGTTACTTTCTCTGAGTCTATCCAGAGTATCGAACATACTCAAGTAGTGATATTCATAACAACATGGTTGCGCTTGGGTACCCATCTGGTCAAGTGATCAGTCTTATATGAACAGTTCAATTGATATGAAATTGTACGTCACATCATTGTATATATTCAAGTGACTTTGTAAAGGAAGAGCTAGAGACACTTTACAAATCATATAACTTGTACTAGCGATGCCACGCTGAAGATTCACCGCAAGTGTTCCTCCCTACTTCGTTATGTGATTGCTTCCCAATGCGTGCCAGTGATTTGGGTAGCCGGACTTTGGGCTGGTCAACTGATTTATGTTTTCGTGACTTCTATACAAACTTATTAACTGTATACCGTAGTTTCCACCGTAAATCCTTGCATAGCCGGGGCTTTTCCTGGATCTCTTGGCCGGTGCAGAATCCTCATCGCCGCGGATGAGCCGCAAAGAGAAGCCAAAGATGGTAATAGCGTGCGGTGTGTCTAGTTAATTTATCTTCCCGTCCTGTTAACTAACTGGTTCTATAGATGCAACACGTGCAGAAAAAAGAGGGTCAAATGCTCTGGTCAATATCCATGCGTGTATTGCACACGTCGAGAACTGGAATGCACCTTCCCAGTGCTAGAAGATAGACGCCTGATCTCTGAGGCGTATGCTTCTCCAAACTACGAGTCAATAGCTATCTTACAGAGCTTCTAACATACTATGCACAGGAAGGTCTCGGACCTTCAGGCACGCCTCGCTCTATACGAGCCTCAGACCCACGATAGCGGATATGTAGATACACAGAGGTCGACGACAACAGCTGCGTCAGACCCAACCAAAAAGGAGAATGGGAATATAGCGCTGCTTTTCAATGCGCCAGTGAATGAAGAAAGACGGACATCGAGAACTGAAGCTCCTCTACATTGAATGGAAACCATTTTACCCTTGGATCGAGTCAGAATTTCGGGAGCCAGGTACAGGATCTTCTTGGGCGACAAAAAACCGCTCTTCACGAATTCCGTGCACGCCTCAAGAACAAGCAGCACGCTCCATTTCAACTAGGGAAGTGCTATTTCTAGAGCGACGCACTCCACTCAAGCTAAGCTAGGGTCAAGAGACAAGCATGGCTGCTAATCTGAGGTTTCTTTCGGTGGAGGAAGCGTATCAACTTCTGGATACGGTTCTTCTCTACCTGGCGATGCCCAACATTTCTTCGATGCCCGAGACCTTTCAGACCAGCTGATAGTATTCCACAGAAGTAGCTTTGACGAGATCCAAAGAACCAGCATTTGGTATCTCCACATTCTCTTAGTGTTCGCGATTGGGAAACCTTCTACGGGGAGAGTTGGATAGGACGACAAGGCCACCGGGCTTTGCCCTATTCAACGAGGCCTTAAGATTGATGTCTGATATTAGCGAAATAAGGGCCCACGGGATCGCTGGAATTGAGATTTTGGCACTCATAGCAGTGTATTACCAAAGTACTGATCGGAAGGATGACACTGCTTCACATGTGCGAAACATACATTACCTCCATTCAGTTCATTATCCGACCTAACCTGAGGTAGATTGGCCTTGCTTTCCGATTGGCTCTACTGCACAAGCTATATCGAAAGTCTACATTCGACCAACTACATTCATGACAAGCGACACATGCAAACCGTATCTGGTGGACTGTTCAGATGCACGATAAACGTCTCACCATAGCTACGGGATGTCCATTGAGCCTCGACGATAACATGATCGCTTCTCCTCTCCCGAGTCCCTCGCCGGGCTACTGTGATCCGCTAGCCATCCAACTGAATATCAAAATTGTGCAAATTCAAAGCCGAGTATATTCTGGTTTGGCTTGACCGGGTTGAAACGTCGACGCAGAAGCTAACTCCTCGAATCCTAGTTTTTTACAGTAGCGAATCCTGCTCAGAGAACACGTTTTGCGACAGCGTACGCGATATTTAACGTAGTCTATAATTAATCTAGCATTAATTTTCCTATTTTTATCAACTGTGAAAATACTCTATTAAAAGATTCGATTTATTAATTATAACTTTTGGGTCGAGCCCGATCCGCTCTACTAGTTGTTGGGCATATCGAGTGGCATCGTAGTTAATTACATTTGTGACAGAGACAGAATATTAAGTATTTATTCCTGTTGGCAGGTCGGATTCCGCCGGTCTCCCCCTTTATTCCGATCTTTCACACAACATAGTCGGGCCAAGGCTTTCGTGAGTGCGTACGTCTATTTCTGGAATCCTTTATACCTTGGAAGTAATTAAGAATGCCTAGCTACCCGCTTGTTAGGTAAGCCCATCCGATTTCTCCCGGTAATTATCCATGTAAAGGGCGGTGATGAATCCCTTGGTCAGGACCTTGAGTAGTTATCGGGTAGGAAGTTGATCTGCGGAAAAGAAGGCATAACGTGGTTAGATCGCAGCAAAGATCTGGCCCAATATGTGATCCATCAAACTGCTGCTGGGTAAGGAGAAGCGCATTGATATTCTCCGAAAAATGGTCTGTGCCGTTGACAGGGTCCCGTGGATAAGGACTGCCTTATGGGGCGTGTGATGGAAAACGGGACCGGCCGCACCGTTGTTTACCCCTGGATCGATGGCCCATAGTATTGTTTCTGTTTCTGTTTGCCCTGTTGCAAAGTGGTGTCGACCATCAATCAATACGATTGAGAATTCGAGGAATCTGCGGCGGGCCGACGGTTGCGGAATGCTCCGATCATCGGCCCGAAAACCTCGTGCACCCCAAATTGGGTACAACGCCCCGTTATCGGTCCAGAACCTCAAGGACAGGATCATGAGAGATATCAGTATAATTCAACCACAGCGGCCATGCTGCAAGGTGATTTGGACGGCATGAAACATCCAGTTTCCCCAATGATGGGGGAAAACGTATCGGTCGATGATCGTTTCTGTGACCAGCGCCAAGAATACTCCAGAGCGATCGTTTCCGGAACCAAGACAATGCCAAGCCCTTAGTTGGCCACAGTCTGCCATCGGGTTCTGCAACGATGAAATTACGGACAACAATCTGTCCCAGTTAATACTCCCCGTAAACACCATCACTGCGAGCAGTAGCATTGCCCATCATGAATTGTCCATCGCGCACTGATGATACGCTCTTGCATGACGAGTGGAATCAGAACCCGCCGTTTCTGGCGCCGGATCTGACTACCCGCCAAGACTTGAATGGCATCTCCAATGCCCGCGAGAATAAGGGAGATGGGAATGGGAATGACTCCGGACAATCGTTGGCGTGCCTCAATGAGAAGGGGAGGACAAATTCGCTGCCGATTGACCCAGAGAAGAAGATACGGTGGGATAATGGGGCGTCACTGACCACAAAGTCAGGTATGACTCCTTCGCTTCTTTACTTTCCTATGTTTACGTGGTCTGTGAGTACCCGGCTGGCGGCATCGACGCTGATGGACATTTCCAGGACGTCCCATTGACCCAATGACCAGCTTTAATGCTGGTCAGCAGAGTGGTCGTGGTCTAAACAATTCTCAATCTTTCCTTCAGACATTCAAGAGCTGGGCCTCATGGCTTCTGTCGGTTCTGTTCACGTCAGCATTGCTTTCTCATGGTAGTATTGGGCGATATTTGCATGGGTCAGAGGTTTCCCCCATCCCCTCATCCGGTAAGACGAATAATCCTCACGACTGGCTTCGAATATAATCCCGGGTGCTAATCTGGCCAAGGGTTCGAACCAATGGAAAGAGATCTTCCTTTCGAGAAACGAGGGACGTGTGCGCAAGGCGGTGTCAGGGGTAGCGACTACAACCTTCCCTTGCATGTTGGCGGGCTGTTCATCATTTTGTCCGTTTCAACGCTGGCCTGCGCCTTTCCGGTCCTTGCCATCTGGTTTCCGCGTCTTCGCATCCCGTCGTCCTGTCTCTTTTTCGTCAGCCATTTCGGTACCGGTGTCCTGATCGCCACTGCATTTGTGCACTTGCTCCCCACCGCGTTCCAGTCACTCAACGACCCATGTCTGTCGAAATTCTGGACCACCGATTACCCCGAAATGCCAGGAGCCATTGCCCTCGCGGGTGTGTTCCTAGTGACAGTGATTGAGATGGTCTTTAGCCCCGCCAGACATTGCTGTCGCGGAGGAACTAGCCTATCAGACCCGCCACCCTACATTGCTCGCCATGTTGAAAAGGAAACTCCCATACAAAGGGCCCACGTAGTTGACTCCACTGTTTGCAACGAGAGAGAACGACCGGCTGGCCTAGAGCCTCTTCCTCACCTGCGCGATATGGGCCCTTTGATCGGTAGGTCTTCCAGCATAAGCCGAGCTATCAACCAAATGGGTGAAGACCCAGAACGTATCTGTCGCATTTCCTCCGCTCCCGAGGTTCCTCAATACCGGCAAGAACCGAAGATCGAACCGGTCCAGGAAGATGTGGAGCGCAGCGACGATGGTCATGTTATGACTCCAGAGCAAAAGCATCGCAAAGAAGTCATGCAGGTCGTTTTACTGGAAATGGGTATCCTGTTCCACAGTGTTTTTATCGGCATGTCACTCAGTGTATCGGTCGGCAGCGAGTTTGTGATTCTATTGATTGCCATCGTCTTTCATCGTTCGTGTTTCTCATCCATCTAATACGCTGGTTTACGCTTTGCTGATATATGGACACAGAAACATTCGAAGGTCTTGCTCTAGGTTCTCGTATCGCTGCTCTCGACTGGCCTGAGAAAGCCATGCAGCCCTGGCTCATGTCTCTGGCATATGGATGCACGTAAGTCTGCCTTCATTCAGTCGTCGCTTGATTAGTTATGAGAGTCAGAGTAGCTGATGTATGCAGAACCCCACTCGGTCAGGCCATTGGGCTTGCAACCCATACTCTCTACAGCCCCGACTCAGAGGTCGGCCTTCTCCTGGTCGGTGTCATGAACGCTATCTCCGCTGGCCTTCTTATCTTCGCCTCACTGGTTGAGTTGATGTCGGAGGACTTCCTCAGCGATGAGAGCTGGCGTGTGCTTCGTGGCAAGAAGAGAGTTTATGCATGCATTATTCTCTTCATGGGTGCCTTCTGTATGAGTCTGGTTGGCGCGTGGGCTTAGTGGACTTGTCAGTCTCGGTAATTCGGGGGAAATTTCGCCGAGGTAGGGTGTGTTGCTCGTTAGGAACCAGATGGACATTCTTCTTTATGCACCATCTTGGTTTGTGTATGGGGGGTTTGTCAGGTTTGTCGTTTCAGGGGACAGGTAGTGTAAGGAGTTATGTTAAGGAATATCTAGTAAACACCTATCAACTAGGTAAGGGTACAGAGGCAAAGAGTAAATAGTAGATATTAAGGAAACAGAAGACGGATTGTTGCATTTCTTCTACTGGCAAAAAAACCTAATTTATAGCTTGAGACTGGTTTAGTGTTCATCAACTGTAACTAGGGTTAACTATTTGCTAAGTGGAAGACAACGATTCGGCTGTCGGGATGTTTATGCACAAGGGACAAGGTATAACTGTACATTCATCAAGCAGAGTGAGCAACGGATCTGTGACATATGGTAGGTTCCGCTGACTTACCGCCCTTTCACTAAGTTTAATTGGGGGGCCGCAGTATATAAAGCTTTTAGGGGCCATAGTATCTAGATTTGGGGACCACAGTATATAGTTTTGAGAAGCTGTAGTGTCTAAATAGTACATAGTTTTAGAGGCTGTAGTATCCATATCTAGAAGCTATAGTATATAGCTTTTAGAGACTGTTTTCCCGATAATCCTTGTATTTAGAAAGCTAGATTTCATAGAGAGATATATACAATCTATATATTTCTTAGTATCTATACTGTCTTATGCGTAAATACAGAACTATTTAATACTCGGAATTAATACAGGGATTCTGCTTGCAGAAATCGACAAGAACCCGTGGTTGCGGAGTGGCCGCTACTGGCAAACGAGCTGAAGTTGGACTGTGGTGGAGACTTCAGATAGAGTTCAATGAGATCAGCCACTAGCAGTAGATTACACCGTCCAGCGTGCGTCGATCGGGCTTTCATTGGTTGAGTCGAGCCCCACACGGTCGGAGTTACGGATTAAATCACGTGGAGTAAATCCGATCTCTTTCGCTGTGTTCGTAATGATTCAGTCCGTTGTAATATTAACTAGCAACAGCTCTGAGTTAACCGAACAGCGTAAACGGATATACAGTAATCCTTACATCTTGGCTGCTCCAATGGCTGATACCCCTGCCTCCTTGCAAACAGGCTGGCGGATCTCCAAAGCCTGCCAAGAGTGCAGGAAGAGGAAGATCAAGTGCAATGGCAGCAATCCATGCAAAACCTGTCAGCTACGCAATACTCCTTGTGTCTATCGAGATGTGATCAGACAGCGCAGGAAAAAGCACCAAATGAATCGGGAGAGCAATTCCTTTGAGCCCGAAGTGACTCCGCGCTCTGGTTATGGGGCGGCCCAGCGGTCACCCGGCCTCCCGCCACGCCGGAACCCATCAAATAATTATACTATCAACAACAGTGTGTCAGCGACACATGTGGAATCTCCGTCATGCAAGGTCCAGCTGTACTATGGCTCAACGTCGAACTTTGCCCTCATGCATGAAATATACCGGGATCTAGTGTCCATCCAGACCCCGGGCTTGGAGGAGCCTCATGGCGAGGTGGAAGAGGCTAGAGCTAGTCTTGATATGTTCAGTTTCCGTCGAATCTTCTTCGGGACGCCAGATGAGCCAAAGGAGTCCACAAAGGGCGGCAAGTCAATGGATATGCCCGTCATGTTCTTGCCTCGCGAGCTAGCCAATGTGTTTCTGCGGCGGTTTCTGTCCACATTATACACGCTGGTCCCATTTCGCTCTAGAGAGTCATTTGAACAGCAGTTGGAGCATCTCTACAACCCAGTGCCTGGGGCTCGCTCTGAAACTTGGGCCCAGTGTATGCTTCTGTTGGCGTTGGCTATGGGAGCTCTCGGCACGGAACATTATCGCTGGGGCGATGTGCTGTACGATCGTGTGAAAGCAACTTGCGGTGGGTTAGATGACATTGTGAATCTGGAGTCGGTCCAAGTGTCGCTGCTTATGATAAGTGCTCTCGTTTCTAATTGTCAAGGTCCCAAGAGCCTAACTTGCCTAGCACGCCCATTACCAGAGCGAGCAGGGAAGACCGAACTCAACTTTTCTTCACTTGGGTGCAGCGTCACGAAAGGCGCTCTCAGCTGGACTGCATAAGGAATCCCCCGGCCAAAGCGGAGAGTCCACGGAGAGTGTGCAAGAGAGGCGGCTAACCTTCTGGTCTCTGTATTTCTACGAAACGTTCGTCTCCTTTTCTTGATCGCATCTGGCCAATCTAACCTGGCTGTAGTTGGTTCTGTTTTCATCTGGGACGGCCATGTTCGCTCTCTTTAAGGGACGTCGGTATCGAACTGCCAGAGAACGGTTTTCTGTGTGCCTTGACTTATGTGTCTAAAATCATCGCCCGACTAGCAGACGAGATGTTCGGCCATCACCATGACTCGCTTTTGCAGATGTGGAGACTTGCCAGATCGATCACAGACGATTATCGACCATACGAGATGCAGATGCAACAGGCTATTGGTGTCAACCTGGATACATGTCCCCAACCGGGTTCTCTCGGCGTACAGCAGACGATATTGACAACGAGTAAGTGATGGCATAGGTGTAACTCGATTAGATAACTAATGAAGTAGTTTACTACCATACGATTCTCTTGACCTTCCGTCCGTTCCTGATCTTCCGTGGCCGGTGGCAGGAAGACATGAAGGACCCTTCTCAACATGGAGGCAACCGCCCAACCGAAGCCCCCGCATGGCTTAATGAGGCTTGCAACAAAGCCCTCAGAGCCTCCTGCAAAACCATTCAATTCTTAAGTGAAGCCGCTATGGCTAACGAGTTTGTACGAGTGGGTTACTCCAAAACCTAATAGCTGATCACATTATCCAATCGAGCTGCGATCTAACCAGGCTATAGGAACTCCGCTATCACGGCTACTTTCTAGGAAGTGCCGCTTTCGCCATAATATACGACCTGATGCATGGGAAAGACCTTGCCCCTACCCATCTTCCCTGGATTTACGCTGCTCTGCAGAGTCTGTCGACCATGCGAGAGGGCGATCCCATTAAAAGCACAATAACGGCTATTCAAACTGTCCTGAGGAAACTCAATCCCTCTTACGAGTGGATCCCTCTAAACGGATTCAGTAATCCCTTGGACCCGCAATCCACCACTGCCGCACAGCCATACGCTGCGAATATTCCAAATCCGCAAACTCACAGCATGCCCGAATCGTCTTTACCGGGACTACCACTACAGCCTTTACAAACGAGTAGCGGGCTACCGATATTATCAGAGTTTCAGACTAATTCGTTACTCAACCCACCCAGCGGGAGTGTTGGTAGCAGCGAGGATCTTTTAGACCTGACCCTGTCAGATATGGGATGGGACTTTGACTTTTCCACAATGGATCTGGAGACTTTCTTTTCGATATATCCCAATGTGGACACGCCGGCCGGGTGACTAGCAGGGAGCTAGATTGCATTTTACGCTGTGCTTTGGTGGAAAGGATGCTGACTACAACCCCATTACCAACATGAACTCTCTCAACTAGAATATATCTCATAAAAGTCATAGTTAATATTAATCGTTTAGTAACTGGAAAAGTCAGGATACATGTATATTACGAGAAATGGAACCCCATCATGCAATCAACCAATGATTCCCCAACGCCTTCAACTGCTGAACCCAGCCACCTGCCCCCGTAGAATGGAAGCCAGACTCATCCCTCAATCTCCAAGCCACTTGCATAACCTCCACCGCGGTTTGCACATATCCCCACGGTAGTACATTCCACAGTAGATTCAAACGATCTAGGGCCCACTGCCGATACACGGGGTTATCGGTCTCGGCACCGGCAATGAAAGTCGGCCACGAGGTGGCTTTGGATAGGGGGTCTTTGGGATCGACGAAGGAGAGATGGTGAATTATCTCAGTAACCAGTGCTTCTGATTCTATATCGGTGAGAGAATGGGTGACGCTCCGGTATATGTATATGCAAACTGCGTTTTGGTGGGCGAGGGCTGTGTGGATGCGGTTTGGTGTTCGCTGCGTGGGGGCGCTTCGACACTGTTCGCCCAGGCTACTACGTCGAAGGATTGCGCGGCTCTTAGTAAGGAAGATGCTTCGTTGATTAGAGCGGGGGCTTCGGTCGTGGGGAGACGGACGGCTATATTTGATAACTCGCATGCCCGGAATAGGATCTGGAGGAGGGTGGTCGGGAACGAGAGATAGCTGTTTGCTTCAGATCGTCTGAGGATGGCGGCTATATCGATGGGAAGAGCGAATGGATCTAGGAAGGTGGTGGAATTGGTGAGGGTTGACCCCAGGACATGATACCTAGTGTGTTGTTAGATTAGGATATGAAACTTGTGCTTTACAATGGTGACTTACGTTAGACAGTCTGAAGTGATGCGATCGCGTATCAATGCTACTGGAGATATTTGGTCATTGGTGAATGGTTTCAGAGTGCTAATAAGCTTCATGGCGCCTTCAACATGAGCTCTCCATGCATTTTTGCCGGAGTCGATGAGTTCGAGGTTGATAAAGAGTAGTATGACAGTCACTACGAGGTCGACATCTGTGGATGGTAAATTCTCCAAGGCTCTCTTGAGGAGGTGGATTGCTTTGTGCTTTGCCGATAGGGCATCTAGGGTTGCACCGGTGGGGGAGTCTGTCGAATGCCTGGTAGGGCTCAAGGGCTTCACGAACGAATTACCTGGGAACGGTGTCCGTACGCTGTCCATGTGTGAGTCAAAGCTTGAACGGCTCATACTCGAGATATGCATTGCGGCATTGGCAACTATAATGTGGAGTAAGATAGGATGATCTCTACATGTGGGAATCAGACTGCGGAATGGGTTCTCGTTGGGAACATCAGCTATCACAAGGTCTTCGCAGAGGGTTGTAGCAACTGTAGCATTGGTTAGCATAGCCAGGATCCAGGAGTGGATTTGTGAGCATCGCCTACAATGACATAGGTAACGTCTAGAGGGATTATCCATGTCTTGGAAAAGTGGGTCAATTGGAGACATGTACAGCGGTGCACGGAGATCGTCACGCTCAAGGATGCTGGGATTTAGATCACATGAGAAGGTCCAGACCCTGCTGTTGCCGTTTCCATCGACTTCACTGGACTTGGTAAGAGACCGGAGGTGATCTGGCATTGCATAGGTCTTGCCCATCATCTTCCCCCTACTGGCCACACCCTCGTTCCAGATGAACAGCTTGCCGTAGCCCAGACACTCCTGCCCAGTTCTCGTACATTTATGACACACGGGCACAGAACGGTCGCACCTCCGTCGTTTCCTTCGACAGTTGTGACACGGTTTTGATTCGGGGTTATCTTGCATTGAGAGAACACGCCCTCTCAGAGAACACCGCCAAGACAGATCCGCAGAAGATACCGACAGGTGGAAGATTGAGGTACGCGGCTGTAGTCCAACTATCTATGGCTCAAGGGCCTTGAAAATTGCTATGGTGGCGGTATCAAGTTTTGAGAGCCAGGCATAGGCTGCAGGGTTGAGCGTAGAAGCGGAGTTGTGCAGCGACGGAGGGAAATGCAAAAGTTGCGTCTTGGCTACTCTTTTAGTATACGAGATCCACTTGGGAAGCTTGTCATCAATCACGACAATATGATTGGCTAGATGGCATAGCAGCTTGGATTCTGACTCGTCGGGGTGGGCCTGTGCCCTACCTCATTCACATCCCATTCCCAGCAATTGATACCTCACGTATATGCCCAGAAAATTATCTTTTAGCGCACTGATTGCAAAAATAAAACTCCTTAGGGACCGAGGGGTCATCGCATTGCTTCTGACCTTCTCCCTTGCTGATTTTCAATTTCAAACCCTTCACAGCGTGGCTCATGAGCCTATTGTGTCGTCATGGAAATTCGTACGGACAGTGTAACTAGTAGTGAAGACAATCAACCAAAGTCTGACCAGGAATGCACACTTAATACGGTCCAGCTCGAGCAACTTGGACGGCAGCGGCCGGCGATATTTGCCAACAATGCCATAGAGATAGGGTTTTGTTTCTCATTGCTGGCATCCATGCTTCTAGCGGTAAGAGCCCTTCTGAGTATCGTCGCAGATCTTGTCTCATTCGAACAGGAGTACTTTATCAGTGGCTTCAACACGATCCTACCGGTCTTAACAGATGCGCTTGACATACCGGAAGAGGCGAAGACGTGGCCAGCAAGCGTTTTCTCTTTGGTCACTGGTGCTTTGCTATTACCGGCCGCTCGTCTAGCCGATATGTTCGGTGCCCATATTGTATTCAATGCCGGTTTGATCTGGTTCTTTGTGTGGTCCTTGATTGGCGGTTGCAGCAAAAACTACATAATGATGATTTTCTGTCGTGCGCTACAGGGACTCGGACCTGCGGCATATTTACCGGCTGGTATTATGCTGCTCGGCACAGTCTACCGGCCTGGTCCTCGCAAGAACCTTGTCTTCAGTCTGTATGGAGCCTTCTCCCCAATAGGTTTCTATTTGGGTATAACAGTCAGCGGGCTCTCTGGACACTACCTCACATGGCGCTGGTACTTCTGGATAGGTGCCATCATGCTCTTTGCTGTGTCAATCATCTCGTTACTATCTTTGCCGTCGGTTAAGTCGTCAAGTCACTCGAGCATGGATTGGTGGGGATGCGCAACGATCATCCCGGGGTTACTGTTGCTAGTATATGCTATCACAGACAGTACTCACGCTCCCGATGGTTGGCGAACCCCCTACATACTTGTCACGTTCATCCTGGGTCTCCTATTTCTCTGTGCCGCATTCTACGTGGAGGGCTGGATTGCTTCATCGCCATTGCTTCCATCTGATATATTCAAAGTGAAATATATGACACCGTTGTTTGTATCACTGCTTTTCCAATACGGTGTTTTCGGTGTCTACCTGTTTTATGCGAATTTCTAGTAAGCTCTACGTCAATCCTTTCCTCCAAAATACTTACTAACAGCTTCCATAGCATCCAAACAATCCTCGGTAAAGACACATTAATAACAACGGCATGGTTTGCCCCAATGGCCGCGGGCGGCCTCATCCTAGCCACAGCCGGCGGGTTCACGCTACACTTCCTGCCAGGAAAACTCCTTCTCATGATATCCGGGTTAGGGTACCTTGCAGCCATGCTCCTGTTTGCCCTCATACCCGAGAATCCCAATTATTGGGCCTACATCTTCCCCGCAATGATCGGAACAACTGTCGGGTGCGACATCACATACAGCGTCAGCAATATCTTCATCACCACCAACTTGCCGAAGGATAGACAAGCAGTTGCTGGTGCGGTGATCAACACCACTGTGTTTGTCGGTATCAGTCTTTTTCTGGGGGTGGCTGATCTGACGGTATCTGAGACTGCGTATCTTGGGTTGAAGGGCAGTTATAAGGCTGCCTTTTGGTTTGGGGTGGCTTGTGCAGGCGTTGCTTTGGTTTTCTTGCTGTTTATTAAAATCGGGAAGGCGGAGAGTGATCTTACTGTCGAGGAGAGGGAGCGGTTACGGGCTTCTGTGGCGGATGGTGAGGTTTAATGGCGTGTTATCGATAAGCGAGGTTGCAGGTCTTAGATAGTAATGTCGTCCATGATATATTTCTCTTTTTATTACACACAGGAGACATGATGGCAGCCCCAATGTATCGTGTGTACTGATACCTATATAACAGTTTAACCTTTATATAGGAAAATTGATAGAGCTAAGTCTGTCAAGGCTATAATAGCTATGTCCTACCAGTCCTATATAAGATTATTACCCTGTGCATATACAGATAGGCACCCACGCTCGATTTAGATATCTACCTTCGCTGCATATTGACGTAAAACGATTAATTAACGGGTTACTCTATTGGACCCTTCCAGGGTCTGCTGTTTGACCCATTGGCGGCCATAACTGACAGGAGGTTTGGCCGCTCCTAGCTGGTTTATGATAAAACAAATAGTGAATAGCCCAGGGAACCTGAGCCAGGGTCCCTTTAATTATCCTCAAAACATAAAACTTAGTAATATAGGGGTTCTATGTTGTCGGGCTTCAGAGATACTGCCAAGAAAGCTACAAAGCAACGGTTCAAGTGTTACATTCGATATACTATCAAGCTCATTGTTCTGGTCTAACTGTGCCGAGGTTCTCGACCCTCGCCAAGCTGCCAAGGTCGCAACAGACATTGATAATATACAGATCTCCGACCAATCGCAATACACAACTTCACAGGGTCTCATTCTGTGGGGTAGGAGAATTGGGGGCGAAATGAAAGTGCCGAGAGCAAGTGATGATACTGGTCCACTGCGCAGTAGTGAGGGCCTAGTACACGCCCCGTAGGGACTAGCGAGACTAATCCTCGACTTCCATATAACCGTAGAATGGGATTCGCCAGTCTGACACACTACCTGTTCGTGCCAACATACATCGGGCGCAGGACTCAGCCTTCAGACAAACTTCTCCTCGGGATATAAGAGGAGCGTGATGCTGGTGGCATTTTCAGAAATTCGACCCCTTTCTCGCTATTTGAGCCTCCATAGTCGTCGCCATGCCCGTACAGATGAGGTATCGGTCGGCATGGATGTGGCTACTAGTCGTGGTGTCTGGCACTGGTGAGCATTCTTGTTATCATCTCAAATCAAACTACCATTAGCAGATCTAATCTACCCATTTAGCTATGGCCCAGATTTGTACCCCAGAACGCGGATACGAAGGGTACACGTACATCGTCTATGACCAATCGGACGTGGACGAGATTACAGCAAAGTGTACGACTGTAAACGGGAGCATCGCGATGGCGTATAACTACACCGGGGGCTTCCACCTCCCCAACATACGAAACGTCACACGTAGCATTGACTGGGTTCAAAGCGGCCATTTTGGCAGTTTTCCGAACACGACGTCTGTCGATTTACCCGATCTCGAGTTTCTAGGTGGAAGTCTGGGGCTGTACAGTCTTCCGACTTTGCAGAGCGTTACTGCACCGAAACTGGAGACCGTGGGTTGGTCTACGGAAATTGGTTATGCCCGGGAGGTGGATCTGCGGTCGCTGGTCGAATCGGAGTACTTGCAGGTCAGAGGGAATGTTTCAACGTGGGTTCATTAGACCGAGGATAATTGGCACGAATGAGAGATGGACGCTGAATATGGATGAATCTAGCTTACGCCTCGACTCCTTGCGACAAGTCCGTCAGCGTATGCTGATCTGTAACTGGGATGAGTGCGATCCAGAGAAATCACCCCATGGCTCGTTGGATCTTTCCCTCCCTGCACTGCATGATGTGGGCCATCTCCTATTGAAGGGGAGGTTCTCGAGGTAGGACTTTACTCCAGCACTGTCCCTGCCGTGCTAATCATACCTAATATAGTTTGGGCACACCGAAACTCACGAATATCACGGGGGTTGGGCCAGGCTTCTATGGTATTCAGGTCCTCACAGCGGGAGGACCGCCGATTGACCTCTCCTTCCCTGAGCTTAAATACATCCGATATGCGAGTCTCTTCCTGGAGGGTAACATTGCAAGGTAATTCTCCGTTCAACTTTCGAATCCCGAACACAAGACTCACAAAGCCTCAGTATATCGATACCGAGCATAAGGAATTTGACTGTCTGGCTTACGGTAAATGCCTACGACGGGCTTGACATTAACCTGCCTTTCGAGGAGGCAGATACCATTACGTTGTCGGGCAACATCTCGAGGTACGTGGCACCAGGAATGACCACAATATACACTAGGAGGCCACACTAAATCCATCTCTATAGTGTCCAATTTCCGAACTTAAAGTCTGTCGATACGTTACAGGTTAACACGGTTGCCTCCCTCGACTGCGAAGCCTTTGAGGAGACAATCAGGACAGCGACAAATACGTCGAAGTATCAGGTGAATTGTAGGGCGAAGAATTCATCCTCGCGTCTTGGGCTTAACCTTGGCGCTGAAATCGCGTTTGCCAGCGCTGTAGGTGTTGTTTTTGGGCTGGCCATGTCGTACTAGGTAATAAAAATCTCCTCCGCAGCTTTCTCAATGATTGGATTTGGTACGAAAGCCTTGAATACTACTACAAAGGTACGGCCTTCACAGGCTAGGATTAACTGTAGTAAGTCAAGAGAGGGGAGCTAATGGAAATCTTGTTCTAGAGGGAGCTAGAGGTGGAAACGAAAGGCAATGTCTTGCATGATGAGTCGCGCGATAACAGCCCTCTCTCCTTCAGTTCTCATTATATCCACGATTTCTTCGTGTAAGGCCTAATCTAGGACTTACGCTATACGAGGCACTTTACCAAAAAACCAACATTATCCGCGAGACACCTCACGCGGGCTCTAGCAACTACTAAGTAGCGCACTGTGTAGCCCACATTCACCATGTGCTTTACAGACTGTGTCAGCAATACAGACAGGAGATCGTGATATATAAAGGTAACTATTCGGGGTTTTGGGATTGAGAATATTTGAAATAGCACGATTCCTTATTATCAAAGATTTCAATGAAGTGTTCTCAAAGGTTTCTTTGCCTAGTACATGTGTCTTCTACGTCGAAGCAAAGAGAAGCCGGCATAGAAGAATATTCTTTCGTAGTATGGTATAAAAAGAGCACTATTCCTAGATGAGATGCTCCTTGGAGACCCTGTTATATTATAGCCACACTGCTACCTCGTCGAGCTGTGTAACAAATTATGATCCCAATCTAGCATCATGAAGAATCTTCTCTCGTCGTTCTCCACGGTAGACCAATAGATAGAAAAAACAGAAACAGAGAAACACCAGAAATAAGATGTGTAGATAGCACGTATCTGCTGTGCAAACCAGTTGACAGGTCCGGTAGTACAGAAAGTGGAATCCAAAGATCGAGACGAGAACTCTACAAGATAGGTTAATTAGATGATAGACACACACCCGGTAGCTAAGATGAAAGATTGGCTTACAGAAATGGATGCTTATAGAACCCTACTTTTTGCATCAGTTGTTCGGGCCAGCCGATATAAGAGGAGAGTTGTATAGCGACTTTCTGCTGCGATGATATCGGGAGAGAATGGCCCTCGGCTGCCGGTTTGGCAAGAGCCATTTCTTGGGTCACAGAATGAAATAGAATGCACACTGTGCGAAGTAGGAAGGGGATAAGCTAAGACAGAATTTATCAGTCAGATTGGCCACTGGCGCACTATAAACTAGGGTGTTGAGTGGTAGTAGTAGTAAGGGCTCATGATTGAAATCTGTCGGCGTTTCGTTCCCGACATGTCTTACTTTCATTTGAACCGTCTCAACTAGTCAGCACTAAGCAGCCCCACCCGCTCCTTCGGGTGTACCCGTTGGCCTGCTCGAAATATCTTCAAACGAAATATCTTCAACTTTGCCGAAACTGGCCTTCATTTGGGGGCCAAAGTCTCCCTATAACTTTTGCCAGCATCGAGGACTTCCCTAAGCGGAACATGTTCCTCTGGATATAATTTTCACCCGGTGGAATAAGACTGTTAATTGGTGGCTCTACATAGCGACTAACGGGTTATATACTTGAAATACCAGTAGGGGGGCGGTTCCGGTTATGGAAATGTGGTATATGACTATGCGCCTAAATTAACCAGGGTTAAATTAAAAGCGCCATACCTCTCCAGTGCCGGCCCCCAAGCATTCACCAAGCGTTCACCAAGCGTTCATGGCCGTGTAGAATTGTGGTTCTCCGCGAGGACTAGCTACTATCCGCACGCCTAGAATCCTTATAGGGCGTAATGGATCTCGCTTATTCCAGACCACTTAGGTCCGATAATGGCCAGGTTATATCCCCGGGGGATATGTAATTTCGTGCTGTCCCGTAATTCGCCACGCTATGTATTCTTGACCCACCATGCTAAAGTGATGCCTGATAATTGCCCACTGAACAGAGAGAAGTGGAGTGCGCAGCAAGTAGTACGGCGATGACCGAAGATGACAGTCAATATATTCTACTCTCCGTGTAGAGTCTCGTGCGATCCACTCGGCCGTTCACCTCGAACGTCTTGTCGGTCAATTCATTGGGTGTTGAACGGGCTTCAGGAAGGCATCGAGAGAGGAACTATTCGATTCTCCGTCTCCTCTGCTGCACTCCGTGGAAGATACCGAGGGAAAGCTAAGCTTCTCTTCGCATGGCCGTTGCTAGTGGTCAGAGAAAGCAGGGTGGCTAACCACGCTTCTAACAAGATCTAGGTATCTAAGCTCGCTCGATAGCCTCGTTTCACGGGAACCTGCTCCGGACGTGGGTGGGCTTCCGGAACAATGCCGGCTCATTCGCTTTACAAAGGTGCTAGAGTAGCATCGACATCTAGTGGTCTATTGGTGAGTACCCGGTGCACAGCTCTACGATGCTCCGTCGAGAGTCTTGATGCTGAGACTCGCATTTACCTCTTTAGGAATGTTGCAATAAACCGTCGCTTTCAGTCTAAGCAAACCAATACCCAGGCTAATCTTCGGCTATCTAGGAGGGCTCGAGGCGACTGTGTTTATGGCTTCTTCTCAGGTATAAATAATACTGCTGTTCCGTCTGTGTTGTGAACTGTGTACTTCATTCTATCAGCATCGCTTCTGTATATTCCACTTTGGTTAGAACCGTCAAAATGAAGATTATCTCGGCCCTTCTCCCTTTAGTTCTCCTCCGGAATGTGGCCACTGCCGCTCCCCTCAATCAGAATTCCGAATTGGAAGTTGACATGAGCCCCCATGGGGCTGGCTTAGCTCTGGCCAGTTTGGAGAAGCGAGCCGATTGCCATAGAATCCTCAATAAAGTCTACGCGGCTGTCACTAGTGCAGGATTGTAAGTGACTTCCAACCCCTCCCGATCCTCGTTGGACTGGTTCGTATGATTAGCTGATTTGTTTACTTGCCTGGTGATAGTATTATTTTCGTCAATGGCGTGACAGGCATCACAAAGCGAGTTTGCAAGATAGAAGGCTCCGAAAAGTGCGAGGACTATGCCGATCTCATTTCCGATGGCATCAACCTCATCTGGCTGGCCGGTGCTGCCTACAAGCACGGCTCAGCGGCAGTTTCCACCGGGCAGGAGCTGATTGACAGCGCTGCTGGCGCGCGTCGGTCAGTCGTGAACGAAGACTATACCTCACTCCTGCTCGAGGGTCTAAGCGAGTATGGCTTCAGCTATACTTCTTATGAAAATGCCACTCTACCAGCCAGCGGGCTAAGGGCACGAGACGATGAACCGGCCTTGGTCAGTCGGGTCGTTCTGCGGAATTTGACATCCTCTGAAAATCCGAGGGGACACGATGTGGCCATCCACCATTATGATGATGGGGCTGGGCAGCTCCATCTGCCAACCTACGGCCAGAGCATGGGCGACTCGACCGGCGACTCAGACTTGCATAAGCGATTCAACGGTGCAGGCTTCAAAATTGCATTCACATCCAGGCCCACTTCGACCCCTAACCGATCAAATGAAGCGGCAATCTCCAAAGCTATCGGGCACAGTTGGGCGCAAAAGGCCCAAGCAAACGCCAACGAAATTATCGGCTTTGTCAAGACCTCCGACAAAGCGAACTTTTACTATCGCATTATTCCGGAACTTCAAGGCTTCGGCACGAACTACGAAAGTGTGGATGTCTGTGGGGGAATGGCAAGTTATTTGGTCCTCTAGTCTGCTAGGTGGACAGATTACACAAGTGAGCCTTGCGGTTGTAACTTGTAAGTGCTGTGGGAGGAAGGGGATATGTAGCCGTCATCTATATACAATGGACTAAAGAAGGAGGACAAAGCTATATATATTTTATATATTCAATTGTCCTCCTGGATCACTCTATTTATTCTTTTCATTCCTTTTGTCCTCAGCTCGATAAGGTCTAGTGATCACGACCTTTTAGGCTTTGAGGCTTTTCCGTGCCCCATGAAGACCTACACTATCATAGACTAAAAGTAATCCCATTGACCTCTACAGAAACTACTAGCGGACCAGTCACCTTCACAGATACCAGCCTACTGCGGTGGTATGAGGTTTGATTCTTAAAAGCTTTTATTCTTAGCCATCTAGAACCCCGAGGTCCCGTCGTTTTCCTAAGCTGAACAATGTCGCGAAGTTTAGAATCTCATAGTAAACCCCGTTTATTAGTCGTATTCAGCAAACTTTGCTGGATTTTCGTCGGTGTATCAATGATCGTATGCATGTATCGCGGAAACTCCTTTCCTGACTTCACAAAGAAGGTCTCGAAAATCGCATCACAGCTGTTTCCAGTGCAAACATAGAAGCGTCAAGGTGTGAAAAAACCATGGAGCGCCATGTTTGAACGCAGAGCCCTGCATAGCCTAACTAAACCAGTGCGACAATCGCCGGGATATCTGCCGCCATGCGACTCCTGGCCCATCCACCTGGCCAGAGCGTGTTGCCGAGCAGGAGACAATGGTGCCGGGAATGTCAAACAACGCCTCCAGCTACACAACAGGTCTTTAATGCCCCACAGAACACAGCACCACGCAGCGAATTCAATATTCCACATTTGAGACTGCTCCTAAATTGGGCGACATCCACAGCTCACTCTATTTCTCGGAACGACGCAGATTCTCGCGTGTGGCAAAGCGTCATTCCGCAGCAGGCCCCTATCATGCCCGTACCTAATGCACGGTATATTAGCTCTCTTGACGCTGCGTCTGGCACTATCTGGTACTTGCCACAAAGCCGAAGGTGACAGCTTGATTGAAGCAGCCAAATTCCACCAGAGCGAAGCGATCAAGATATTCACGAAAGACGTCGCCGAAATGGTAGCATTAGAGTGTAATGCTAGCTTTGCTCTATCGAGTCTTCTGATCGGGTTCGCCTTTACTTTTCCCATAGCTGTTTCGATACAATACCAAACTCAGCTCGTTTCGCTAAATGGCCTAATTGAGATGTTCATACGCATCCGCAAAATGAGCTACTTTTCCGCTCCACTCATGGAGACTGTCAGGAAGGGGAGTTAGGCGACCTCCTCCTTGAGCAGTCACAACCGACTATATCCGAGTCTTCTGACCAGACAGTGCCGACTCTCCGTGACGTACTGGATGCAATGTCTTTCCCAACACGCGAGGATTATCGTGTTTTTACTGATACTATTGACTGTCTGGAGAAACTTCTCGCTGCGGTAGATAGTGAGATAGATATCCTCTCGCAGGCTTTCGTATGGATATGTGATGCTCCTTTGCTGTTCTTTGACCGTCTTCATAGGCGCGACACTGTTGCCTTGGCAATTTTCGCACACTATTGTGTTGTCCTTCATCGTTTGAGAAAGCGCTGGTGGATTTCATCATGGGGTGAGCGCGTGCTGAATATCATTGCGGAGAACTTAGATCTAAGTTGTCAGTCCTCTGTAAATTAGATGATTGATGCAATCAAATCCTCATGTTCCATACTCCGACAGTGCTCGAAATTGGCGTGATTGGTGCTTATTATGTATTATAGTGTGAGATACTATCAAAACCACCCGGAAGAACATTCAAAGAATCCTAATTATAGGTGGAGATAGCAAAATGCCTTTGAAGGTTTAACAGCAGATTTGACATGGAATTTTCGGTCTCTTAATGAGCATGCCTTTGTCATGACACTATCGCATGCTCAGTATGATGGACTCTGCCACTTTGGTGACTTGCCATTGGAGAGGCGCTTGTAGGCAGGTTTAAAATTCCTTAAATGTCCACGATATGACCAACGTAAATTTGCTTATATTGGGTCATCATAGCTCGTTGGTTTGCCTAGACTGAGCTGAAATAATGTTATTTCAGTGTGCGTATGAAAACAACGAGCGCGGAGATCCACATTATTGAAGCTACTGTGCAGTCCTCCTGCCATCGTAAACTATACGGGCAGTAGAAGTCCCGCTCACCTCATAACAGCCTGATCAAGAATGACAACAAAAGCCAAACACTCAAAAACACTCATGTGATTTTATCGAGCCCTAGGAGCCCACTTAAGAAGCATTAAAACAGGTATTCGCTTGCGTGCACGCCATACTCCAGGCCCCCAGCCCCTCTAAAAGGAACGCCAAAACTCATTCAACATTCATAATTCGTTTCAAGTCGTGAAGAGAAAGCGGCTTAACCAGATAGTCGTCAATGCCAGCTGCAAAGGCTTGCTGTTGCATTGAGCTCGATGCCACTCCAGTAACTGCCATGATAGTGCTTCGAGGTAGAGAATTTTGTTCTTCATACTCGCGGATCTTGCCCGAAGATACTATTCCGTCCATGATGGGCATGGAGATATCTGTCACTGTTAGTTTAACGATCCCTGTATTTAGGAGTAGGTGAATTCGTACCCATGAGGACATAGTCGAATCGCCCCGCACAAGCCTTGTATTTCTCCAGTGCAGCGAGTCCGTTAGTCGCAGTCTCGTAACTGCAACCTATCTTGCGCATAAAAGTAGCCATAATCTATATCTAGTTAGAGGTGATCATCCCCAAAGAAGTAAAGTTTGGCTTGCCTTTAGATTCACGTCATTATCATCCACGATGAGAACATGTATGTTCTTCTGATTCAGGGCCTGAGGGGTGGGAAACGGTGAAAGCTCTGCGACACTTTCCCGGACCATAGGAGGGGATTCTGATCCCTTGGCGGCGGCAAATGCTTCGGATAAGGAGCGCCCACGGCCAGGGAATCCTGAGAACGGGCCCGCAATCGGGCTCTCGGACAAGGGGCTTGCTTCGCGATGGGCATCGATGAACCGTTGCAATGCATCAGTAAGTTTGCGAGGACCAATCCTACCAATTATTAGTAAAGCAGTGAACAGGATGTGGAAATAAGTACGTACGGCTGGGACAGATAAATAATATCAGCATTTTTAATGGCAAAGGTACCTGGGAGAGATACCCCATGTTCACCGAGCACGATGATCGTGTTGAACTGGGTATCGATAGGGCCAGCTTCAGCGATCTTCTTGAGGCTCGACTCCTCGACGACACCAATGTCACCAGAGCCATTCTCAAGCGAGTCGGCAAAAGATACCATCCACCCAGGCTGACTGAGAAGCACATTACTGAGCGCTCCACGAATTGACAGTTTCCGCTTCGCTTCGGTCGTGATAACTCCTTTCCGGGCTCCCTTAAGGTCGGTATATGGATTCAGACCAACCAGGCACACCCGGGTCATGATCCGCGATCCTGGACCCTCTCCACGTTTAATCGGAGCCGAGGGTGATGATGCTTGGACGGCATGTTCAATGGGAACGTGCACATCAACCTGTGTCCCAATGCCTACCTGGCTGTGTACCTCAATGTAGCCGCCTAGGGTGGTCACTATTTGCTGCACAATGCTCAAACCTAGTCCACATCCTTCGGTCAACACATCTTCCTGTGCAAAAGGCCTGTAAAGCTTGTGTTCAAGGAATTCTGACGATATTCCGCAGCCTGTATCGTTGATCGCCAGATGGGCAAAAGTAGTCTTGTGATCGCCAGCTCCCTCCACCTCTTTGGACAAGGAAACTTCAATGAGACCTGAGCGGGTGAACTTGAACGAATTCCCAAGCAGGTTCATCACGATTCTCCGCCACCCACCTGAGAGAGAATGAATCGACCACGATTTTTGCTCTTCAATGCGGACGACGACGGATAGATCATCAGGATTGTTCAATTGTTTGACTTCGGTACCAATGGATCTACCACCGACACCGGCACCACTAGGAAGATACCGACCCGCTATTTTGGCGGCGTTGATAAGAGACCGATGGCCAGCATACAAGGTCTCAGAGACGTCTTCTATCAGCGTACCAAGGTCGAAGTCGGTAGTCAGGTTGTCATAGGCCGACCCAACAGCTTCCCCTGCCTTATTTAGGTGCGTTAGGTTGTTGATTTTCGTGAAGTCCAGCCTGTTAATCAAGTGTTAACTACAGGTTTGTGCCTTGAGGTTATATTCCAGTCTTACAGGTAGTTCATCGTGTCTAACAATGTCAGACCGCATGTTTCAACCATTGTGAGCATATCTCGTTGGGCGGGCTCTAGACGTGTTGTTTGCAGCAATTCCGCGCTAGCAAGCATGCCATGCAAGGGGGACCGTAGTTCATGGCTAACAGATGAAAGCAGATCCGATTTCGACTTTTCGGTGGCACACCATCCAAGGTGAGAGTATTTGGCAACGATGGAGTCTCCAAATGCTCTCAGAAAACATAGGTCATCTGATCCCAATGCTCGTTGCTTGTCGTTCATCCACATAATCGCACCCGCGAGCCATCGAGACTTGTCCCAGTTCCACAATGGTAGGAATATGAGGGACCTGCTTTCGGGGAAGTCAAACCCTAGTCGAACCGTAATACCTTGGTGGAGAGAACGACCGCCATCACTACCTTGTCGGCTATGGCCACGGCTACTCGAGGACTGTACTGAAAAACGTCGTGTTGGGCCTTGAGGGTAGAACACTTCGCCATGTGGAAATGCCGCGAACATTTCATGAAGCAAGCCTTCTGTCAAACCAAAACGAATTGAGTCGCTATCATTGCCTGACGATTGTTCAGATAAGGCATGGCCTAAAATGTCACATTGTTTCTCGGACCATATGCCTTGGGATGAAAGCGCAGGAGACTGAGGCGGTGCGGATGTATCGGTATCTTTGCTAAGGCCATCCCAGTCACTGACGCTGGCAGATGAAAAGCTGGAAAAGTTAGCGTTACCAACTTCGCCATAAAAAGGACATGACTCCTACCTCCGAGAGTTACTACGCGATGCATCCAGAAACAACACACCATCCAGCTTCATAGACTCTTGTAATAATACACTAGCATGAGAAAGCAAGGCAGAGGTTCCAGATGATGTAGCACCTTCTGATACCGTTATCAAATTACTAGACTCGTCGGAACATCTCCTAATATGTTGTTGGTGTTCCTCAGAAGATGAGTGCACCTTTATGGGAACATCACTGCGCTTGAAGAACGATGGTGAATGCGCCCTGTATTGGGGTTTTGGTCTTTCCAGGCCGAATCTATCATGCCTGGTGTCTGTTGACAACGAGATACGATTGATATCGGGAAGTCCTGATGACTGAGGTGAGCCCAGGTCCGAAGCAACCCTGCTGCTGTGGAAATTTCGCTCCGTATAGCCACTAGATTGGCCATTAGAAAACTCCCTGAGCGCATTGAGAAGGCGCTCGGACTTTTGGCATTTATGTAATGTCCAGGTATTTTCGAGGTGGCTGGCGATGGAACCTGCTACTTCTTTCAAAGTATTAAGCTCGCCATCGGCAAATAGCGAGCGGGGAGCGCTGTCAGCAACGCAGTATGTTCCAAAGAGATCGCCTGAAGAGCTACGCAGGGGAATCTCCGCGTAGAAGCGTATATTGGGGCATTGAGTGACAAATGGATGCCCGCCGATAGTATGGTCTAAACAAACGTCCAGCACAATGCGACAAAAGCCATTCGGTGCTTCTTTGAAACCGTTGGCGGGATAGCTTCCATCCGCCTGTAATCCCAAGGTCTTTAAGCCGAGCAAGGGGCTTCTCTTGCTTTCATCGTCCCCAACAGTATGAGAAATTATTGCCTCCGCGATCACATACGGCTCATTATTGTCCAGCAGAGTGACGAAGGCGTGATGACAGCCTACCCGATACGCTCCTAGCTCAGCAAGGCCTGTCAATACTGTATCCTCAATTGCATTCTGGGTCGACGATGGCTTTCGCAGATGTGTGGGTGAAGGCGCCGATCGGTCTCGTGCGCCCTCCGTCCCAATCGAGCTTTCGGGGCGGTAAAGTCTACTCAGTATGGAATGCATACCGTGAGATTTGACGATGAGAAGAACGGAGGATCAGGGAGGGGTCGCACGGCAGCGAATCCTACCTTGATAGCTCCGAGAGCATTCGTTGCCCGGCAGGTACCGGATGTGCGTGATATGACACTGTCGAGTCCGGTAATGCCATCAGAGAGCTTATCGCATAGCTAGCACTCGGGAAACCTCAAGGGGGGGTCAAGGGAGGGGATTCTGGGCCGTCCGCAGATCAAGATTCGATGTTATATATTGTCTTGTAGTCGTGATTTTTTCCACGTTGGGTAGGGTAAGAAAGTTAGGTCCAGAGCCCGTCCAGAGCCCGGCCAGAGATACCAAACCTTCACAACCTTCCGAGTAGCCGACTGCCCTGAGAGTGGTCTAGGCCGTTGGTCACTTGAAAAGAGCCCCATTTGTGCCGTCTACGGTTGAAGAAGTGCCACCCCAGATAAGGGGATCATAGATAGCTCTAGATCCTTGGTCCAGGTGACGCTTTCTGGACTAGTCTATTGCTCAGCCATGGTCCCCACTCGCTGGTTCGCTGCAAAACTTACGGCCGATCAGCCCTAGGTGGCAGCCTTCTCGGCCGCCAGCCCCGTGTACTTGCTTGCCGAGGCATATATGAGGTGTGGCATGCTATACCAGGCGATGCTGTGAGGGTAACAAATTTCTTTTCTCATTTTTTTGCATCGGATGATTTCGCATTAGTCAATTTTTCCGACGATACTCCGTGATAGATCTATGCCCCACCAAGGAACAGAGAGATAGGAACAGTAGATTCCATACCAGAGTTACATTCTCGATCCCTTTATCAGGGCTTGCCATTACCTCCTTCCGCATTCGGATATGACCTTTTGGCCTGAGGCGTCGACGAGTCACGGGATGTTGCATTCTGGGTCTCGTGATTATCTAAAGCACAGCTCTTCCCGGCTTTGATTGGCTGGCGGTGATATTCGGTGCTGAAGAGATCGAAAATATGGATTGAAGACGTGATATCATGCAATGCTGTTTCATGAATAACCTAAGAAGCCAAAGAAATACGCTTGTCAAATATATCCAGTCTAAGTCTCTCTCTCCGGTTTAACCTATGTTTATTTTGGAATCATTTTTAGAGTTTTTCGCGTGAACATCGAATCTGTAGTCAGTAAAATATATATATATCCTCCTCTACATTTCCGGCTTTATTTACAGCCTGCGTTGTGCAACGAACAAGACTCCAGGAGACAACTCTAGTACATGTTGTAAAACAACACAATTGCCTCGTGTTCCGAGAGCAGACGTAGGTTGATCATCTTTTTGACAAAAGCGCCTGTTGGGCCCATTTCTCGACATAGGAACAATATAACATACCGAGGCATTTGTGCGAGCTTTGCCACTGAAATATCGTACAATTATAATGCATTAATTAATGCAACATCACTACATTAGGATATACATATGGATCGGCTAGATAGCATATCTCCCTATTATAGGTCCAATTACTGTTTGCACCTCATTAATCAAACAACTTTACTACAGACGAATATATGGTTGCTATTGTTACTTGCCATATCGACGTAGAAATCATGTCTCCTCTCTTTACCATCGTCTGTCTCTATATAATTCTTTCGTAAAATTATGGGTTAGGAGTTATAGCCTAACCCTTGTATAGAACGGCTAGGTCATATTCCTATCATTTATCTTTGAGAACTTGTGCATCGTAAATAAGCGCAGAGGAGTTCTTTATGCGCTGTGTCTATCACAATCTAAAGTAATTACAAAGCCACTGCTGAGGAACAAGGCTAAACGCTGAGAAAGCTAGTGAGATTTGGATGTTAAGCCTCATTCACCACCAATGCTGTAACAGCCGTGAAACCTGACTTGAATAACATTGCATCACTGCCTTTGCTGTAACTTAACAATGTAGCTCTTTGCCGTCCCCTGCAATGAATACGTCCATACCTCGATGGAAACCAGGGTTCTCTACCGCCAGAGAGCTTACGAAGCTACAATTTGTCAAGGAAACAAATAAGCAGGATTACAATTCGGTAACCATAAAACCATAGCACACACTATTAATTGTATCCGTCCACCCATGGCAGTTCATCAATACAACCTTGAGGAAAGCCGGGCCACAATGGCTGCGGCCTCAACATGCTCAATCTGTACTGCCTAACAAACACAAGACAAGACCTTATTCCATTACTAAGAACTACCAGACAGGAAGTCCTACGTGCTTATTTCAGTAGAACAATCGGATCTTTCTTTGTTGCGTCGAGCATATAAGGGAATTTGAGGTCTGCCATATACCTTCAAAATCCTAATCTCATGGCTCCTCTAGAGAACGTCGAAATAGACTTTATCACTTCACCTCGACGACTAATAGTGATGTTAACTTCCATTGACATGAGTAACTTTCCGTGGATACATGTCAGATAGTCTATGATGTACACAACTGCGTCTAGACAATGAAAGTGGAGATTGACGCGAGTCAGTCACCGAATGCCAAGCTACGGCAGGTGTCAGCAAAGTTCCAGTGAAGATACTGGTACATCTTGCTGCACACTCACAATACAGCTAAAATGGAAAGATAAAGTTGACATGATGTTCGTATCCCGTCCGCTGCACAAAATTGACACATCGAGCATGTCAAGACTATACAAACACTGTACCGTGAAAGTGGGCCCTGGCCGTCTAAATTGCGTTATATAGGATTGTTAAGGGTCCTGCCATTCTAGGTAGGAACAGGGCTTTGGGGATTCGTCACGTACTGTGCCATGTTCTTGTTATATATAGCGGTTGCTTGCCTGTCTATTGAATCCCTAAATGTTGCAGGTTGGATCGGTTATCCCACGAAGATCCTAGCTCGCATGCACTTAATAGCATGCCCGGTAACTTCTCTATACTCGAGATTGTCTTCAAAACTTTAGTCTTAAATTAGAGATGCACAATTTCTCTTCTGGAAAAAGAATAGAGTGAGACCATGTGTCTCCATCTCATAAATGATATGTGCGGCCAACCTCGTGTCGGCAATGTTGACCCTGAAATAGTCAGCTACTCATAAGCTGATCGTACAATAACCTCAGTACATAGCTTTGTGTATATCCGGGAACACGGTCCAAATAGTTCTCCACCTCGAGTCTACGGAGTACTAAGCAACTGCTTCTAGAATCAAGCTGCCAGTCCCACACTCCCCTTAATCCGTTTTGCGTCTGTGAAGGTGGCCAATGATGCCGTTTCAGGGGGTCATCGTTTACATCAGCCTTGAAATGGGGTCCATTTTGAATGAGTCAAAGCAATCGTCCGAGATGTTAATTTCAGACCTGCCTGGATAATGAGCAAAAATGACTATCATTATATGTCTAAGACATATCGCTCATAAAGATCGAGTTGCCTATCTAGCATAATTCACATGAAGCTATAAACAGCCTAGAAGGCATAGTCTTACAGTAAGTACGACATCTGGGTACGGAGAATAGTGACGTGGAATAGAGCTCCTGCAGCTCATCGCAGCTAGCCTGCGATATGGAGAAGGGCGAAATTTTCAGATCACATCTAATCTTGATATCTATATCCGACTCTACTGCGAACTTGTGGGTCGGAAGTGCAGGACAAGCGACGGAATTGGCCCGGAAGACGGAAATGCGGATGTAATTTCTTGTATATTCGGAATTACGGAAATCCGGCGTTGATCTTGAGAAGACACCAGGAACCATTCTTATAAGAATAGAATTCCAGGGGCAAGTTATAATAGAGCTCGCTTTCAAAGGGTGCTAGGTAGTACTTATATCAATACGTCCTTTTCAGTGTTGTATGAGCTGTGGATATCCTAGTGTGAGCGATTGGTATGACATGGACATCATCACAGATCAACCAAGGGAGTACTAACAATGGTCAATATAGGGTGCCCCGGTAATAGCGTTTTTCACCATGGATACCCCATCCTCTGGCACCGTTGACTTAGAGCGCGGTGGCGGTGCGATTCGCAAACGTTTGACTCTTACCTTTCGAAACTTGAATGTCCGAGTCACGGCCCCCGATGCAGCCCTAGGCGAGACCCTATTGTCCTATGCCGACCCACGACAACTCCTAGATGTCTTTCGCAGAAGTCGACAGAACAAAAGAGTAGGTATTGAAGCACTACACGCCAATTTTAATACCAGCTGACAGCAAATCAGACCATTTTGAAGGACATTAATGGACAGGTTAAGCCAGGGGAAATGGTAGGCTGAGCGAATTTATGCTACAGACAGGTGGGCTGATACAATGATAGCTGTTAGTACTAGGTCGACCTGGTGCTGGATGCACTTCTTTCCTTCGTGTCCTTTCAAATGACCGCGATGCTTTCGACGAAGTGAGTGGCGAGACCTGGTACGGAAGTATGGACCATAAAGAGGCAAGAAAGTTCCGACAGCAGATCATGTTCAACAATGAAGACGACATTCACTTCCCGACATTGACGGTAAACCGAACCATGAAGTTTGCTTTGAAGAACAAGGTTCCTCGAGAGCGCCCTGAACATCTCCAGGAGAAAAAGGAATACATACAGGGCACAAGGGACGGCATCCTGGAGTCGCTGGGAATCGCGCATACCAAGAAGACACTAGTGGGAAATGAGTTCATTCGCGGCGTATCTGGTGGAGAGAGAAAGCGTGTATCTTTGGCCGAATTAATGGCTGGCCAGGTGAGATTCAATTGGGTAAGACAAGAAGAGAACAAGCGATACTGATATGTTATCCTAGAGTCCCGTCCAGTTCTGGGATAACCCAACTCGTGGTCTTGATTCTAAGTCTGCAGTCGAATTTGCACGTCTCCTACGCCGCGAAGCGGACGAGAACGACAAGACCATGGTAGCCACCATGTACCAGGCAGGAAATGGTATCTACGATGAATTTGACAAGATCCTGGTACTTGCAGAAGGGAGAGTCATTTACTACGGCCCCAGAACAATGGCACGAGCGTACTTTGAAGATATTGGATTCGTTTTCCCAAAAGGTGCCAACATTGCCGACTTTCTAACCTCAGTTACT